CACTTCAACTGCATTCAGATCGAGGATCCAACTTTGAAAGTATCGTTGTCAGCGAACTCTGTCGTATAATGGGTATCCGGAAGACACGCACTACCGCGTACCACCCACAGGGAAATGGCTTGGTTGAACGCACCAATCGGACACTTAAAGCCCTCTTGCAGGCATTTGTAGATCAAAACAACCCCAGGGAATGGGACCGATCACTCTCACAGTGCTTAATGGCATACAGAGCAAGCATTCACAAAGCTACGCGTCAAACGCCTCATTATATGGTCACTGGAAGAGAACTCCGGTTGCCAATCGATCTGACTTCAAACACACTAGGAGAGGATACACTGATTGCATCTGAACACGTAATCAGACTTCGACGAAACCTGAACAAGGTACATCAGATGACTAGGGATATACTCCAAACAAACCAGAGGTACCAGAAAGAATACTATGATAGGAAAGCACATGGATCACCAGTCGAGCCAGGAGACAAGGTGATGCTACTTAAGGAGGCACCACCTAAAGGGAAAGCTCTTAAATTCCATAAACGCTGGGAAGGACCATTCACTGTAGTAGAGGTACTAAGTGACTGCACCTGTAGGATTCAGGAACCGAATTCCTCTCATAGTCTAGTCACACACTTCAATAGACTAAAACCTTTTCGACAACAGGCCTTAGAGCAGACAAGTCCCGCAGGAACAGTCACCTAGCACTGCGGACAGTGCTCCTATGGGAGAGGGGGTAGTGTAAGGCATGGTAAGTTTGGCGGTTTTCTAATGTTCAAACCATGCTTGTCTACTTTCAGGTTGGCTGCGAAGTATGCAGGGATTGGTTACCCAAGACGAGGCAACGGATGACCAATAGGAGTGCCCTTCCCTCTTATCTACTTGTATTGCGATTGGTTGTAAATATAATACTTGACCTTGAGTCCTCGTTCTTACTAGCACGCAACACTTGTGTGATCACACTGCTAACGTGCGCTTTGCTCTCTGTTTCAGATCATTGCTTGACGAGTGGGATTACAGTGTTTTACGGTGAGTTTGGCGCACTACGAATAACGTGGGTCGTAGTTGTGATCGATACAAGACACCTTAAAGTGCCACCAACCACTCTTAAACGTCATAAAAGTTTCTCTGTGTGAGAGTTACCACTGTTAGTCAACAAAAGCGATTACGAACGTAGAAAGTTTCGAATACAGTTCATCTTAGCTGTTTCTCACCACGGGATTAGTATACTCAAACCATGTTACTTTGAATAGTTATGCACTTCGCCGCTCAATCTTTGGGAGGGGAGTTCACCAGTCATTGCAATCACCAACAACGGCAGCACGTCCGCCCATGTTCATTCCTTCTTGAGCGGCCAGCGATAACCTAGCGCGAGAGAGCTTCTGATTACCTACACATATCTGTGCACACTTCACCCGGGGTCTTCTTTCTCACAACATGGAATGTCACTTGTGCAGTGTGTTGGAAGCTCTAGAGACAGTGGAAGAGATTCGAAAGTACAGACTATTTGATTTTGCCGACTACACGCTTAACATGCTGCGACTTGGAAACTGCAGACTAAAAACAGCGCGTCAACACACAATTCGGCAATGCCTTGGGGACGCAACAGCAGTTGTAAAGTCTGCAGTGCCGTCCCAACATTTGAAACCAAAAATTCCCTGCCAAAGATGTAGTCAATGTGGGAAGTTTGGTTGACAAGCTTGGCGATGTGAACATTACAGAATACCATCAGGTGAGTCAACCCTTAAAGTGTCGTCTTTCACTCATTGTTTTTTGAAATCTCCACTTATGCTTGAAGAGTTAGTAAACAGTGTGAATGTGTCGTTTCTGGTTGTCACGGGCATTATCCTCTGTCATCCATTCTAGGTACTTACTGCCTCTGGAAGCAGGCTCTAAGGTGCGTTCCACTATACAGGAACTAATTGCAGAGAATGGTGCCACTATTATGGCAACTACCTCAGCTTACTGGTTGTCATACTACAGTTCACCTGCCTATCCTCTTTTGCAGTCCATGGTATTATAACACGGGACGTAATACTAGGTCCTGAATTTTTGGCTGAGCAGAAAGCGTCTTCGTGTTAATTTGGGTATGCGTGATATTGCGGTTAGATGATCTCAGTGGTGCAGTCAATATTCTGCTAGCTGTGCATTGCTACAGGCAGCAACTGTAAAGGTAAAAGCAAACCCACATCTAAATGCAAACAGTCGAGCTGACAGCCTGACTCTGCTCCAAGATTTTAGTGACTTATTAGATGACTGCTAAGCTATGAGCCGAGCAAGTGTCTTGCAACATGAGATCAAGAGTGGAGATAACATGTCTTATTCACGCATACCTACTAACTATGAACCTGTTGAATGCTATCAAGGAAAAAACGTCAACATCATCGTGGGCATCTCCCATTGTTCTTGTTAGGAAAAAAGATGGCTCATTCCACCTGTGTGTGGATTATTGCCGCTTAAATGCCATTACAAGATTCCCTTCCATCACCTCGTATAGGCCCCAGGGTAGCATTGGATGGGTCCCAGTGACGCTCTACACTATTATTATTGTTGTTTTCTTGGGTTCCTAGTGGAACATAGGGCTTCAAGTGCACGTCTCCACTTGCTTCTGTCTTTTGCTGTACTTTTCACCTGCATCCATGTTAGTCCATACTGTTTCAACTCCTCCATGTCACCCTTGGACGTCCCACTCGTCTCTTCCCTTTCGGGTTCCACTCGAGCAATGGCCTGACGTGCGATGTCACCAACCGGCCTCCCCAACTGCTCTGCACTAGATTCAGGTTATTGACGGGTAGAGCTGCCTTGTGAAGACACCTGAAACTGCCTTCGTCGTGCCCACTGGACTATGATTTTGAAACCATGTTATTCGGTCTTATGAATGCCCCCCACCACGTTCCAGCGATTGTTGTACAAGCTGGCTGCAAGTTTTAGTTTCCAAACAGTGCCTCATTCGTCCTAATGACACTAACGTGGAACTGAAGAACATAGATGATACGTTATGAAGCCCCCTCCCCCAGCCTTACACTGATCAAGGAGGTGCATATGGAAATCAACTGGTAGTCCAGGTTTGTTCTATGTTCGGAATTTGAAATATGTACACCACCCAGTATCATCGACGGGATAATGACTTGATGGTGTACAAATCGGAGGAATAAATCAGTTTTACTTTTACCAATTACATTTCAACCGATTGCTGAAATGAAGCTCTGCCATAATGTTTACTCGCGTGCCGGGTATCCAAGCTTTTTTCGGGTGGTTTCTCCCACCTGTCCTTTCGGTCATGAGTTACGCTTACCTTGTGAAATTTAAACATTACTTCTCCCTTATGAGACTGTGGACTACACTCCACTCCCACGGAAGCTTCGGGAGGGTACAGTGACTGCATATAGCATAACAGGTGGGTATGCAGAATTTGCGAATAATCATGAGAAAAAAACAATCATTGAATGGCCTACGGAAATACACACCTGAGACCGTGTTTGGCTGCATTGACTGCATGTTGTGCAAGATCAATCCACTAAGTTCGCTTGTCTACCTTACGGAGTCATCTGCAGATGTTCGCCTGTGACATTAATTGTACGACACCTACACAGGTTAGAAGTCTTGGTGGTGCATTATAACCAGTTCAGACATGCTCATTACCCCATTCCCACTACCTCTGACACCCGCTGGTGACTGTCGAGTACGAAGTTCCAGCAGGTGAAAGACTGGCTTATCTGATTAAGCGTCCAGGCGCTGTCACCGCCTTATTTTTCGAAGGGGCGATAGCTATAACATTTGTGAAACTAATATGTTAACCTCATGACTGTGATACTTTTTTCTCTGTTTTGTAGATATGGGCTATATGAACACAGTGAACCGATTGTCGAATAATATGAGTGGAATAAACATAAGTCACTAGACATTGAACGTGTACTTTGAACATGTGCACATAAATCTGTACATTTTGTTATAATAATACACTTCTGCATCGTTTTCGGCTTTGTGTTCTCCCATGTGTGCATCAGTGATTCGTGTCGATTTGTTTGTCAAGTGTATTCTTTCCTGTTTCACGGGTTGAGCTACCCAAATCATTACTATAGTGTGACCTGGTGGTTTTCATTTTTTTAACTATTCTCGTGACCTCAGCCGCTAATCACACAATAAAAAGGACATAACAGAAGCGTTTGAATGCCATGAATATACTGCGTAGCTGTTGAGTACTGGTCCTTCAATCAGGTGATTAGTTCTTAGAACCGACGCTCAGAAGAAATGGGAGGAAGAGAATTATACATACTAGCACCTAAAAAGGTGAACAATCTCAAAGTCTTCACGATTGGTTTTTATCTCCAATCAGAAGTGTGAATCTGTAACAAGTCGAACTGGGTATATAAACAAATTTTCTAAGTAAACTTCAAACAAATAGTCTGCATATTATGATTTCTGTACAGACCTGTTGAAATAAGTTGGTGTGAGCAATGCGGGAAAAAAATATTACTATGTACCTAAAATTATCACCTTCAACTGAGCCTCTCGAGGTGCTTTAGTGATATCATTAAATACGCAGGATAACCAGTGTTTCTTACGCCAGATTCTTTTACTTTGAATACTGTTTCGAAAAAGACTTGATGGCTCGTCACGACATCAGAGGGCATTTTTAACTACTCCCGAAGGTAGAGGCAAGCTAGACTTTCTCATTTTCAAAGTAGTGTACAGTTTCACAGTGTAATTTAATTTTGTCTGTGTGTTTGATTGTATTTCTTCATGGCTAGCTGGCTAGCTTTTGAAATACTACCACGCGATATATATATATATATATATATATATATATATATATATCCATGTGTGTATATTTGTATGGTCAGTTCAATGAAATAACGGTAGTATCCTGTACTTTCCCTACTTTCTCTTTTGATATTTGTTTTACGCATAACGCAAATCTCTGTTGTTCTTTGCACTTCAAATGAAGGTCCAGAATTACTTCCAAATTTTGATAAGTTCATCTGTCAACTAACAACAACAAAAATGTTTACGCAACTATGGATGAGTCCAAAAATTGAGCATCGATTCAAAACCGAGGCATGTATAAGAGCGTTAAACAATGCCTATAAATGGATTTCTGTTGACATTCTAGTTGGATTCTGTATAATTATAGAATTGTAAGTTGTGATTTTTTTTTATAGTGTTGGTCATTTCACTAGTTATATTCAACCATTTTTTCGACTGTTCTCTCTCCCGGTTGGTTGGTTGTATATATACGAAAAGTTAGGTAGGTTTATTACATTATTTAGTTAATATCGTTACTTGTAGTATTGTCATGTTTCACTTTACTGGTTGCTTGCATCTTATATCATGTGTCCGTGATAATAAATTTAGCTATCACTCAAAAGGTGAAAAATAGAAGTTATGCACAAAGTAAGTAAGTTTCAATTCCATGCCTAATACTACTACTTTCAGATGAGTCAGTCTCGAAGTCTCCGTCGTTGTCACCGTCGTCACCGCTGAATAAATCTCTCATTGGTCCTTCTATGTTTTGCTCACGCTTACTGAAAAGCCCTTCAGGTATTGTTTCGTGTGGTGCTACTTTTACCACCTCATCATTTGAAGTCTCTGGTGGTGGTGGTTGTGGTGGATCTCCTGCTAGATCTTCCATGGGTTATATGGATGTTGGTGTTCCACAGCCTTTAGGAGATACTCAGTCTATTTGGAAGCCATCAGGCGTTGCACCAGCGTCATCTAGCCATAATCTCTCTCACAGTAGTTTGTCACAGCCACACTATGGATCCTTTCGTACACCAAGCAATTCAAGTGGTCATGAGAACCGTAAGTTACTAGTTTTTTTGGAAAATTTGTTTTTTTTTTCATTTAGTCGACTGTTTTCGTCATATATATATATTTCTTTTTTCCTTTTTTTTCCTTCGCGTTCCCAGTGGAACATAGGGCTTCAAGCTAGAGGCTTGAAGTTTCTGTAGCAGTGCTGTTTATTTTTACAGGATGGGGTCGCTAGCCTCATGCCCAACCTTTCCTCTTCACCTGCTTTACTTTTGGTTGAGTGAGGTAAAGGAGTGCGCCGGCCGGGGATCGAACCCCGGACCATGTGCATAGTCGGTGAGCGTCCTAACCGCTATGCCACCGACTCACGTATATATACTAGTCAAATATATTCCCAGCTATATATAATTAATAAGAAAGGTGTTGTCATGAAGACGTGTCGGGAGTTCACTGGTAGGATGCTGGCCAACCAAGCAAGCGGTCCGGACTCCAACCTCCGACTGACGCTCTCTTTTACCTGACTTAGCCAGTAGCAAAACTTAGTAGAGAGGAAAGGTTGGGAGTGAGGCTAGCAACCTCATCCCATATAAATAAAACCACTGCTACTGAAACTTCAAGCCTCTAGCCTGGAGCCCTATGTTCCACTCAGAGCTCAAAGGAATAAGATCATACAAAGAATAACAGTAATAATGTCACTTTAACGTAACGTAATACGATTTTGTTCGGACTACCTCTTATTCGTGGCTAGTCTCAACTTTAAAAACCGAGTTAACCAATATCTCTCTTGATGGATACCGAAATTAAATCAGCATGATGGTGATACTCAGATGAATGACCGTATATAATGACGGCCAACAAAAAATAAATAAAAGGAAATATGAATCAGCCCGTCAGTCATCTACATCTATTGAGAACATAATCCGCAGGAAAAATCTTGTTAAGACAGTTTTCAAAAAAGATAAAATTGTAATGAACTTCTAAGAAAAGTGGTTACAATGTTCAGCACAACATTCTGAACCATTTCTACTTGTATTTTTTTTCTTTACTGTGCTACAATTATTCACTGCCCACCACCTAGGTGAATTCAGCTGTCAGTCTACAAGAGCTCTGTTAAACCTTGGATGTCCAACTCGTTTCTCATTCGTGCTCCACTCAAGGGTCTTGTGCTTCACTGAAAGTCAAAAATTTTTCGTCTAACTTGTTTATAGTTTTCTCCATGTACATAGTCGACTCTCTTAGCCCAATTTTGCAGGCATTTGGAATCGCTTACTAAATATGTATTGATGGGTTAATTAAATTATAAGAAAAAAAGGAGGTAAACAGCGAAGAAGATATTTTTTTCCATGACCCACTTTCAAAAGCTGTACACTCGTATTTATATTTAACAAAGAATTCTGAAAACTGATGTAATCTAAAAGGGAATGACTAATCAGAGATCAGAAAAAGGGGGCAGAAGTCGGGTTGACGCAATAAAGGCAAAAAGGACTAATCAACAAAATGTTGCAAAATTATGGTAGAGCGGCGAGTGATGAGTTTATCTAGTGTTTTTGAACACCGTAGTTCGGTTTCAAATTCTCAATAGCCAATGATTCAGCTGTGTGCAAATGGTATATTCAAAGTCCTTTCGTGAAATAGTGAGAAACTATGTGTAGCACTATGAAGTAGTCCGATGTCCAGAGTGTTGATAAGGTGTTTTAGGGTAGAACTAATGGTATTTTTCCCTTATCTCCTCTGGCTAGCCATGCTGGACAGTGTTCCAGAATACTTTTGTGGACTTGACGTTGTGCATGGCCGATATATTTTGCTTGACATGAACAAGTAAACTGATAAATGCACAATGAGTCTCTGTCTGTCTGTTTTCGACATGGAACTTTGCACCAATGTGCACCAGTTCAAGTCGCCACACTCCCTCCTTGTAGCACACAAAGCAAGAGAAGAAAGTAGAAGAAATGCATATTAGAGACAGTAAACAGAGGTGTGAGATAAAGGAACAGTAACAACGAAGAACAATATAGTTTCATTGGGAAATTATAAGTCACAAGGAGTGGATGCATCTCCGTCAGCTATTGAGAACGATTTTGAGCCATGTCACCAATTGTTTCCAACCATTGGTTTTTACCGTTCCGAGGACCCCAACCAGGAAGTCTACACCTTCCTGTATGACTGGCTTAAACTAACTGTTGTGGATTTCATTGACTGATGAAGCCATGTTTTGGTTTCACCGCCGCTGTGTACTGCACAACTTATATCACCCTTCACTTATCAGTATGAATGGTGAATTATTTATTACTTTACAATACCACTTACATAGTAACTTTTCTTAAGCATTTTAATTATTCAAACTATATAAGATATCTGCATTGCAAATGTGAATATTATCCTGTCATCTCATTCGTTGACGTCATTTGTGTCTGTCTTCCTTGCATGTTATTTCATACAAAGCATAATGTCTGTCTGTCTGGATTCAACATAGAACTTGGCACCGAAGTGCAGCAGTTCGAGTTGCCACAACTTTAAAATTAGCGACAGACCCTTGCGAATGAATACGCGCAAAATAAGGATACCCTCAACGCAAAAAATGGTGAACACCGCACTGTTATTCTTCAGTATGGAGGGAAGGCAGGCAACTGTTGTTGATAAAAGTCTTGTAGTCTGTTCGAAATGCTCTTGGTGACACACACAAACAAACACACACACACCAAGTATGTGAACCATATATAGAAGCACTGTGACTGACTTGACATAAGTGTTGAAATTCCAAATCTTATTTCTCTATGCTAAATGCAGTAGCATGCCAAGCTGATTTCAGACTGATAAAGGCCTATCTTGAATTTATAGTTCTGGCTGGCCTTGACATCCTCATCCACGTTACTGCTTGCAGTTGAAATGATGTTGCCTAAATGATTGAGTATGAAAGAAGTGACTTCCTGTAGATTTCTTCCGTGATTGGTGCTTGTTGTTGTTGTTGTTGATGTTAGATGTCTTCGTCACCTGTATCCTTCTTCTCTATATTCACCTGAAATCTGTTCTTCGCTGCCCCTAGATCTCCGAATTTGTGTGAAATTAGACGCAAGTTATTCGTGAGGTTCAAATCTTCCAGAGAATTCTTGTTGCCCGACATTCCTGTTTTTTCTAGCTTCTCACAGTTCGTCGCATGATCCAGTCCACCACAATAAGGAGTATTATCGATGATACTTAAGCAACCTTGTCTGACTCCTATTTTCACCTCATAGGTGTAACTGAGTTTTCCGTTTTGAATTACACGCTTTGTGCATCGGTGTTGCACAGCGGTTAGGACTGTCGCCCACCATGCACATGGTCCTGGGTTCGATCCCCCCGCCGACGCACACCTGATACAAATTGTTGGCTTGCAAAACTCGGCCTACCGATATCACATGTTGAAAATTCCATACTTCTACCAAAAGCACTGTGTGGAATCGAGGTATAATCAAAATAATAAAAAAATATGGTAGTGTTATATAGCTGTATAATTAGGTTGATAAAGGTTTGGGACACCTCATAGTGTTGATGCAGTTTCCAATTCACTTCTAGATCAATGCTGTCGAAAGCATTTTCTAGACCGATGGAGCTGAGGTGGACGCTTGACCGTCGCTTTATTCTCTGTTCGATGGTGATACGTAGAGTTGCTTTTTGATCCACACATGATTTGCTGCTTTAACTGAATCTAGCTTGTTCCGGTCGATGTTTTGCATCTAGAGCATCTGTAGGATGACGTGATCTAATATTTCGCTTGATTTGGGCAGGAGCATTATTCCGTACTAGTTTTTGCAAAGGCTCAAGTCGCCGTTCTATTGGTAGTTTGACGTGGTAGTCTTTGTTCCAATAAGTAGGCACCTCTCCTTCCTCCCAAACTTTGCGTTATAGTGGCGGGGAAATATCCACTACGGTCTCTGGATCCGTCCTCAGTGTTGCCCGGGAGCGATTTCGTTTGGCCCCTCTACTTTCTCGGCTTTCAGTAGTTTTATGACATTCCACTTTTGTCATAGATACGTCGTTTACTGATAGTCCTGTGACTGTTGGTTGCATTTCTCGACGAGTTGTATGCGGTGGTCGGCCCAGGAGTTCTTTGAAGTGGTCAACCCATTGTTTCCTTTGTTTCTCCTCTTTGGTAATTAGGTCAGGTTCCCTTCACTATCTATCATTGGTTTCATCTGTGTTGGTCGCTCCATATGATAGCGACGTGGTTATCTGGTATTGTCTAGTTGATTAGAATTAGAATCCAGTCGTGAAAATCTGAGGGGGTTGTCAAGTTTTACTGATTCTTATCACAGTTTACTGAAAGCCTTGGTGATTACAGTAAAATTATGATCAGGTTGGCAACTGGATCTCGTAGCGAAGCTCTGGGTTGTAATATGTGTGCCTGTGATCTGAGAACTATTCCCACCTTAGCTTCCTTTCTAACTTCGGTCACTGTCTATTATGTTTATTGTGCCACTCAGTTAGTTAATTTTTGAAGTTTATTTTTCTTTGGTAACTAACTCGAACTTTCCTGCATAAATATTTTCGTGTTGATATTAGTTTCTCTTTTAGATTTGGCACTTAGTCCTATTGCCAATTCTACATACCATTCAGTACTCCCAGCGTTGAGCAGTGAGGATATTCCATCATTCACACATGGTTCAAGAGACTTACACCGTTCTGTTACTTGGTCTTCACCATTTGTCACATCGAATGTATCACCTCGATACCAGTACGAATCTGCTTATATTCAGCCAAATAATCTTTGTCAACAGTATTTGAATGATTCACAAAAATCATTGTCTGGTCCTTCATTTATTCCCAACAGTACAACTCCTGATTCTAGTAAAAGTGATCGGGAAGTTAGCGAACACTTCGAGGATGAGGTAAGCTGGTAACTTAATACATACTCTACTTAAGATTATAGTGTATTTTTGTTAAGAATACATAGTGACCTTTAATGTAACCGTCCTCCTGAATCTGTAATTATCGTCTCCCGTATATTATCTCGATTCGTGCATTCATTTTTGTATCCTCCTGGAAGTAAAGCCCACTTACTCGAAGTATTTCTCATTTTCGTCACTGGGGGTTGAGACGAAAACCTCTTTGTCGCTGGATGGGCTATGTGTGCTCTGAGCTAACTTTGGTATGGCATCATCGTATTACAACAAGATCCGTGTAGGATAGGTGAAGTTCAACAATAGCGTCCCATGAGGAGTGCGAACGCTCCAATGAACTTAAACGCATCTTAGTCGTTGGCTTACGGCACACTGTTTGAAAACTATTTTTAAAATTGAATCGATTCAATCACAGGTGTACACTTGCCTTATAGTTTACCCTAGAGATTTCGAAAATTTTCATGTAGTTTACCTCCTTTGTTTTTGGTAGTGCTTTCCACTTTTGTCAACATCTGTTTTGCCTGCTGCTGATTATTTTACTTACATGGAGGAGTCTGTTCACTGTAGCTAAATTATAAATTATATTAAATTGTGAATCGTCGAAATGCAGAAATATCAGGGAGAAACAATAGTAACATTGGAACACACATGTAAGGATTTAATGGATCTGGAATATTACAAACACTGAACGCATCTACACCATGGTGAGAACGATTTTGATATATGTCACCAATAACCTCCATCCATTGGTTGTTGTTGTCAGCATCTTAAGACAGACAGTTTACCCCTCTCTAAATAGCTCACTCAAATATATTAACTCAAAAACTTCATTGATTGATGCCAAGTTTTGGTTTGATCATCCGTAACCGCCTTTTTCTCTGCCTAATCTAATGTCGCCTAACATTGCTTGTAGTGGAAGGTGGTGGCTTGGAATACGTAATATGTATCTTAGCCATCTCACTCTGTGTATATTCACGTCATCTATTGACTCTCCCTCCGTCGTCTCTGGCGTAGACGTGATATCCGGCCGACTGTCGACCAAAGGGCGGGTGTATTACTCATCAGTCCGCTCCGTCCTCCTTTATGGCTGTGAGACCTTTCCATTGAGAGTGAAAGACATGAAAAGATTAGTTGTCTTTGATCATAGGTGTCTGCGCTCTATCTCCCGTGTGAAGTGGTATAATAAAGTGAGCAGTATTGAGGTTAAGCGTCGAGTTCTAGGTAAGGAGGGGAAATCAATCGACGAGGTTGTGAAGTTACATCGACTGAGATGGTTAGGACATGTGTTACGTATGTCTTGTCATCGCCTTCCTCGACAATGAGTAATGTTAGCTGACATTGGGTCAGGATGGAAAATAGCTCGCGGCGGTCAATCCACAACATGGAACCAGTCAATGAAATCCACAACAGTTAGTTTAAGCCTGCCACGTAGGAAGGTGTAGACTGGCCTCCTGGTTGGGATCTTCAGGACGGTAAAAACCAATGGAGGCTCAATGACTGGCTCAGATGCATCCACTCCTTGTGACTTATAATTTCCCAATGAAACTTTATTGTTCTTCGTTATTACTATTCTTTTGTCTCACACCTCTGTTTACTATCTATATTATTCATTTCTTCTACTTTCTTCTCTTGCTTTGTGTGCTCTACAAGGAGTGAATGTGGTGACTTGAACTGGTGCACATCGGTGCAAAGTTCTACGTCGAAAACAGATAGACAGACTTTTCTAACCCCAGCCTCATGATTGCTCACCATTTTATACTAATTAACACATAATGCAAAAATTTATGGTTAAAGGAAGCTAGTCCTCCTGTACCTTCCACTTTCAGTGGGGATGTCTCACAGCCATTATTGAGGATAGAGCAGACTACTGTGCAGTACAGGAGTCTTTTGATGCATAATTCGATATTATATCCACTCTAGTGATGACGTCAGTTGGTGAGGTTTCGTCGGCATTCAGTCCATTAGGGCTGATGTGACTTCCCAAATAAGTGTGAAGCATTCAACATGCTTTACTACTATCACACCTTGTCTTCAAGCTAGGAGTGGGTGCAGCCCACTTCTGAAGCACCATCCTACATCTGATGCCAGCGAATCACATCCGAAACATTCGAAGTTTTCTGCAGCACAAAGCACTTTGCTGATGCGACGTTAAATTTTCAGATAAAGCGTATGTAGCGATTCCAACAGAAGCATGCAATGAGTGGTGGGAATTTTTTTATCTCTAGCTTATCTAAACTTCGTCATAAAATAGAATACAAGTCTAAGCATACATTAAGAAATGAATTCCAATTATGGTATACTGCAAAAGTTTTGTAAAGTGTATTTTCACAGTTTATTATGAATCCCTCTTTTTATTTGTCTATTTTCTCCTTTTATATGTAGTATTGGACTGAACATCAAGTTACCCGTAATGATTTGGATCGTTGGACATTGAATCTTCGAAAGGTTTGTTTGAATCTAACACACTAGAAATACATATTTATAAATAGCGATTGAATTATATAAATGTGGTTTTTAACGGGGGCATTGACTTGCTTTATCCAACCATACACAGGAAAGGATGCTAAATAGAGCTGTGTTTTGTTGTTGTGGTTCTGAATTTTAGTTTAGTTCATAGTGGACGAAGCTTTGAAGTTTCATCAGTGGTGATGTTGTGTTTGTTTCTACGGAGTAGAGTTGCTAGCCTCGTGCTGAACCTTCCTTTTATTCCAAGCTTACTATCAGCTATTAGACTAGGTGAGGTTTGGATGTGCGCCTCTGCCAGGAGTCGAAGCCAGACCACGTGAGTGTTCCCGCAAAACTTCATTGGAGGTCGAGCCAGTTAGATACCAAATCTTACCAAAAGTCATTTCGTTTCACCAATTTTGTTTAAGTCCAGGTGCTCATTATTTTAACTTTACCATTCGAAATATACTATGACCTCCATTGAAGTGTCATAAGTTCTTGCCGAAGCTGAAGATCTTGTCTTGGATAGCTGACTACTACTGACTCAACAGCTGAATACTAAAGCTAATTTTTAATCGAGTTCAAATCTAACACCATCCTTAAAATATGCTCCTAGCTTGACATGATTATTAGCAGGAATTATTATTATTATATCCTTTAATTCCTAGAGGAACATAGGGCTTCAGCCGCGCGTCTCCATTGCGTTCGGTTTTCTGCCAACTTTTTTAGCCCGCTCCAAGTCTGCCCACATGCTTTCATCTCTTCTTCACATGACCTCCTCCAAGTCACCCTTGGACGACCAACTCGCAGTTTCCCTTTCGAGTTCCATTCGAGGGATTTGTTTAGTGATTTCACTTGATGGTTTCCTCAGAGTATGGTCAGCCAATCCACCTCCATTTCTACCTGCTTATTTATTTCACAATGGGTTCGTGGTTGGTTCGCTCCCAGAGATCTCTGTTGCTGATCTTTTCTGGCCATCTGATCTTGAGTATTGAGCGAAGACAACTGTTAATGAAGGTCTGCTCAGACACCTTAGCAGGAATACGTAGATTTTGTTGCCTGTCCGTGTTTTAAAGGCATTTTTTCGATGAACATACTCTTTCTTCAGTCAAATTCCCAATTTGCAAATTAGTTTACGACTTGCTGTACACATACACGCACACACACTTCGAGTTGATATGATTCAGATTACACAATGAGTAGTTGGGGGTACCACCCACCTCACACCACAGCTAGCAGTGCTCTTACTAGCCAGGTCGAAATAGTCTTAAAGCTAGATAGCCATTTCGCTTATTTGGGGACAAACCCCACCAGTGGTGTATCCGGTTTGGCTTAGCACTACGTGTCAGCGGGTGTGAATAATCTCGGTTTCTAAAGAAAACTGTTGTGATTTCACCATGAACTGTGTAAATTATCACGAATTTGATTTCACTGTGTACCAGTCCATGGCTGACTGACTGGTCTCAACATAGTACTTTGCACCGATGTGTAGCTGTTCGAGTCGCCATACTTCATTCAGCACACAAAGCCAAAAAAAATTAAAAAGAAATGCAAAACAGACAGGGAACAGAGATATGAGGCCAAAAGAAAAGTAATATGAAAGAACAGTATAGTTTTATCGGAAATTATAAGTCACAAAGAGGATACGTCTACGCCATTGAGAACGATTTTGAGCCATATCATCAATTGTTTCCAGCTTTCCTGACCCCAAGAAGTCAGAAAGTTTACACTTCCCTACGTGGCTGGCTTAAACTAACTGTTGTGGATTTCATTTACTGATGACCAAGTCATGTTTTGGTTTGACAGCCGCTAGCTCTTTTCCAGCCTGACCCTATGTCAGCTAACATTGTCCATTGTCGAAGGAATGCGATGTCTGCGAACGCGTAACACATATCCTAACTATATCAATCTGTGTAACTCCACAGCTTCATCGATTGATTTCCCCTCCTTACCTAACACTCGCCCGATGCCTAATCTCATTATTGCTCACCTTATTATGCCACTTCACATGGGAGATAAAGCGCAGGCATCAAAGAAAGCTAGTTTTTTCATATTTTTCACTGTCAGTGGCCAGGTTTCACTCACAGTCATAAAGGAGGACGAAGCGAACTGTTGAGCACTACGCCCACCCTTTGGTCGATATCCAACCAGATATCACGTCTACGCCAGAAGCTGCATGAACTGGCATAGGTGAAACGAGGCTTCTGTATCCGTGCTTGGATTTCGTCAACGATCAACCCGTTGGGACCGATGCAACTTCCCAAATAAGTGAAGCGGTCAACACGCTCCACCAACCGCTTCACTCCTTATTTCTAAGCTAGTAGTCAATGTAGTCAAGTCCTGTAGCATCATCTTACATTTGGCAGCAGGGGCGAATCGCATGCAAAACATTCGCAGATTGCAGCTCAATGTGTTCAGAAGACCCTGTATTTTGTCAGCGTGTTCACCTAGAGGGACTATATCATCTGCATATTCTAAATCAACGAGTTTTTTTCCCCGGTAACAAATCGATCTCTGCGTACCATTCCATTCAAGTTGATAGCCAGAATTGATGTGGTTTGAGTTGATTTTAGCTCTCTACGCTAAATCAAATGTTATACAATGCTCAGCAGCAAACCAGCCAATAACCAATGTTAAAGTCCCATCGATCTGGTTATGAATCCCTACTAATTGGCGTGAGTAGTATCCACCTACTCATTCCATACACTTTCTTTCACTTTATCTATTTAAAACGCTCTTATTTGATAATTGACGGAAGGCAAGGCATCTATCTGTCTGGATTCTGTCGCACCAATCACTTGTCAATGCTTCTTTTTATCTGTATGGAAATAAGTTGGAAATATGCAGGCAAAGGAGAGCAGATGAATGAGGATATTGGAAGCTTCTCACATTTAAATTAGCCTGAACTATGTGTAGAATAGTCGATTAATTATGCCTGCGGTTTTTACTATATTATACCTATTGGTAGAGAATGCTTTCATAATTAGCTTAAACTAACCTGTTGTGGACTTTATCGACTATTAAAGCCATGTTTTGGTTTGACCACCAATGGTGCTTTTCCGACCTGATCGGTCTTATGTCAGCTAACATTGACCGTCAGTAGATAAAGACGATGGTTAGACATGCTTACGTAAAACCATGTCCTAACCATCTCAATTGGTGTAAATGAACAATCTTATCGATTGATTTCCCCTCCTTTCCTAGCACTCGACCGATGCCTAACCTCAATATAGCTTACCCTATTATACCACTTAAACCATCTTTCGATAGCAAGTACCTTACTTGTTGTACAATCAGCGGAAACACATCTCATGAATTATTCTTGTAAGAATACTCTTAGAATGATATTCTTTCCTATCAGTTTTGATGTGTAAATGACTTTATTTTCTAAATTACTGTACAAATAAGTGATATAAATTACTATTTTTCTCTTTGCTAGTCAGTGATACACTTAGGTTCTATTCCTTTTCCCTTCTTCTGTCTATAACGTTATGAATTGATGTATTTCTGAGCTACAGGCAGCATTAATTTACCTGATAATATCTGAGGAGGTTTAAATTGTACTCCACCAACAGAGGTTTAGGAAGCCAAGTAGTATCACTGGCTAACACACACACACACACACACACACACACACAAGGTTGTACTTTATTTATTTATCCCCAAAGGTTTTGAGTGGAACACAGGCCATCAGCAGCTCATCTCTCCGTTTCATTCTGCTGTCTGTTGTCCTTTCTTTGTTGGCTTCATGATCGCGCATAAGATTTCCTCTGTGTAAGCCTCAGACACACATTCTTCTTCTTCCAATTCAGGATCTGTCTAGCGCAATATCATTCAATGGTCTCTTCAGCGTATGTTCCATCAATCTCCATTTCCTTCTGCATATTTGTTGACTCAATAGGTTCTAGGTTACTTTATTGTCAGAGTTCCTAGTTTTAAGGTGTACATTTTGTAGGGATTTTGTTATATTGGTTGGAGTGTTTCTCCATGGGTCGACATCATTAAGGGTAAGTGGTGGCCAAACAAAAACATGGTCTCATTAATCCATGAAATCCTTGACGACAGTTAAACTGAGTCAGTCAGGTAGGGAGATGCAGACTTCCGGGTTGGGGCCCTCGGGACTCTAGGAATCAATGGCTGGAAACTATAGGTGACATGGCTCAAAATCGTTGTCAATGGCCAGCGGAGATGTATTCAGTCTCTGTAATCTTTCATATTCCTTTCTACCATTACCCATTCTGTTTCACTCTTATACTTGTCAGACTGTATTGATTCTCTTCACTCATCTTCTTGTCTACCTCTGTGTGCTATTTGGAAGGTGGCAACTCGAACTGGTGTACTTCGGTGCCAAGTTCTATGCTGAATCCAGACAGACAGACAGAGACATCATTTAGAGAACTATTTGAAAACCTGGAAGTACTGGGTTTCTGTTTCACCCTAGTTTGGAACTCTTCAACAGTACGTGCCCACCGGGAGTCGACCTCGCCGTGTAACCAGAAGATCCTGGGTTCGAACCCTGCCGATGGGTGCGTACTTCTGAAGTATCCCAAACTAGGCTGACGAAACAGATGTCCAGTACTCCTAGGTGGTTTTCCAATGCTTCTCTAACTGATGTCAGCTCATGATGAAATACTCCAACCAAAAAGTTAACTGTTTATCTTTTCCTATCTTCAGTATCGATTTTAGTGGTTACATCCTGATGAAACCTTGTTGGAAATGCTATTGGTGACATGTTTTCACTACGTTGTTTCTGTACCATATACCAGAACTGACTAACTTGACATTAGTGTTGTTGAAAAATTCACACCTTATTTCTTCTGATGAATGCAGTAGGTTTTCATGTCAATTCCAAATCAATGAGTGTTATTCATTGTCCACTAACTGCTTGTTGGTAGTACTAATCACACAATAGTTTATTATTGTTAATACTGTATTTGATAAAGACAGATTTTGTTTTCATTCCTCTTTAACTGTTTGTATTTTTTTGTTTGTTGTCGTTTTTTTTAGTGGCTTCATGGTACAATTATCCAACGTATTGTTACTGAAATTGATGCCATCAATCGAAATCTTGAACAAGCCTGCGGTGAAAAATCTCTTATTGGATGTAAGCTTCATTTGTATATGAATAATAAGATCAGGATTTTTAATTCCAATATGAAGTCAGTGTTATTTACGTATACGGATACGAATCAGAGACCCTTGGCCAGCGTGTCACTAAGGGCACTTCGAACAAATCAGACACGTCCATCAACAGCTGTCTCTTCACTCAATACTACTCAAGATCAGAAAAGATTAGCAAAAGGGAGGGATCTCTGGCAGTGAACGAACCAACCAGGAACCAATTGTGCAACAAATATGCATGAAGAAATGGAGGTGGATTGGATTGGCCATGATCTGAGAAAACAAACCATCAAGTGACATCACACGCCAAGCCATTGCTCGAGTGGAATCCGAATGGGAAGTGGCGAGGTGGTTGTCAGTGCGAGGGTGACATGGAGGAGGAGGTCGTGTTAAGAGGAAATGAAAGTGTGTGGGCTGACGTGCAGCCGGGTGGGGAACGTTGGCGGAGAACCGATGGAGATGTGCGGCTGAAGCTCTATGACCCTCTAGGAAATAAATAACAATTACATATATTAGTGGTCTATTCTCATCAATCTTCGCCAATGAAGTAATATCGAGAATCGACAAAACATAAAGAACAGTGTTGATAGTAGTAAAATTTTCTATGCATATCCTGATGACACTTTTATTTTTGGACTAAACTATTTTTTGGCATCTCACATAACTATTTACTTTATTCTGTATGTAAGAAGCCACACTCACCTCCCACCTTTGACTTAAAGTATGATCCACGAGACTGTGGAACAGCCTCAGGAGCTACGTTGCCATGGTTCTGGTGACTAGAACCGGTTCAAACACCATTCCGTTCTCTTGGATTCTGCAGCTCATGGACATCATAGGTTTAGAATCAGAGTTTTCTAACTCCCGTAGAAAGATCTATCTGACCACTAGTCCGGTTCTAAGTCTTAGACATTCACATTCGCTCTTTTAATTTTGCGATACAGTGAACAGGACTTACCTGGGAGAGAATATGGACGTGTAGCCACACGCGAGCATTTCGAGAGAACGACTCAAGTCTACCTTCCTTCGGTCGTACCAGGTCGATTACAGAGGCCAAAAAGGTATCCAAAGGAACACTTAAACTATTATATACTCCATGATATGGTGAAGTGTCTTCTTAATTCTGAATGAACACTAGACGTCTACTAAAGGTTAAATGGGATTCGTAGTATCATCCTCGATAACTCATAGCCTAGTCGGTAGATCAAGCGTAATTTGAATTCTACTGAGAATTAAGTTGTTACCTGTATTTACCAATCAATGTATCAGTATCAGTCTGCCGACACAAAGTTCTCTCGTATACTTTCTCACCTGCAAATAAGTGATATCCAATTTTAGGAAGTCCGCATAGTCTTTATTCTATGTTTTCAAATTTTCATATACGTACTTAGTTGGCTTTTAGTGGTAGTGGTATGCTCGTCAGCCACGTGAAGGGGGGGGAGGGAAGTGTGTTCGATTCCTGTCCGACTCAGTCTCAAACCTCATCGAGCCTGTAGTGTAGTCAGTCTAAGAGAGACAGAGGGTTGGGTGTTGGACTAGCAACCGTAGCTCCATGAAAAATAACACCGCTACTGAAACTTCAAAGCTTACGCTTTAAGTCTTATATTCCTCTTAGAACTCAAAGCAACCGTATGTATTTATATTTATATATGTATGCATTTTATTTTTCAGCTTCCAGTTTAACTACTCTTCAACAGTTATGCTCTGTGAGATATCAATATCTAACGACATTACCAGTGTTGCTGGCATTTTTGGATTTTATGAAAGATCAAGGATATCTAGTCAATCGATTACGTGGTAGGTGTGATCCTTGTTTTCTTAACAACACCAACAGTATTAAATGTTTTCGATAAATGAGACTGTTAGTTGAGACAGATTCTAAGGCGTGTTGTGTCCCATCTGAAGACGATATATATATATATATATATATCCATTCATATATTTTTCGTTTGGATTAGAAAAGTCATAAGTGTTCTACTAAGCTTTCAATTCAGTTCCGGTTCATTTTGTTTCCTATGAAGAGTCACCTATGACAATTTAAAAGCAGCACTAGCAGTGTGGGCTGTTGAAGCTTTCAAACTAGTAGGTGACGTAATTCCATATTAGTTTGTTTATTAGATGTATCACAGTCAGTGAAACAGTATTATTTACTAGATGACACAGTTTCGAACAAAATTTATTGCTGTTCATAATCACTTTATCAATTATAATCACACGATTTCGATACTTGAGTTCTATAGTTCTCTTTGTTCTCTCTTATTTGTCGTCACTGAGATAGTAGAATCTTCCAGATATCTGGGTGGACAGGTGTTGAATCATTCCTATTACACGTATCCACTCTTAGTTGATTTGATAAACAAAGCGTCTGTTATCAATCTCTCCCTCCACCATGTTAGTTGCGTTAGATTTTGAAACTGTCATCTTATCCCATCCAGCCTATTGTATGGTTGTGTGAAATTCCATGTAGTGAGTGTTACAGCTGAAGTATTCTCTAGATTTTTTATCTTATTCGGGTCAACTAATCTAGATTTTGCTAGATTTTTATGCTCGGCTAGGCTGACTGACTGACCCTGTTCTACTACTTTGACCTACGTATTTCACCTGAAAATCATTCAAGAAGGATATTAGATAAACTAAATTGTTTTGTTTTAATGGCTCTACAGGATCGTTTAATCGACAAAGCGAGTTTTTAATTGAGTTTGTGGATGGTTTGAATGCCAGCCAATTTCACTCCTGCCTTGTTAAGAATTCTGCGAAAGGTTTCCGAGGTTCCTTCCTTGTATGGAATTACTACCGATAATTTAGATTCCTTATTGTTGGTGTCGTCATTAATATTATTATTATTATCATTATTATTGTTATCATTATTCTTATTATTATCACTATCGCTTCTATCATTATTTATTTTATTTTTACATTTACTTACATATTTCCTGACTAATTTATCCGGGTAATTATTAAGTTTCAAGGCTTCTTTTATGTGCATCACTTCCTGTCTTAGATTTTCCTTGGTACTACTTAGTTTTGTGCTCTATTATTTTAACATTTCACCAATCCTATTTTCACTGACATGGGATGGATGGGTTGATTGGAAGTCCAAATATCTGTTTGAATGTGTAGGTGGTTTTCTGTAAACAATAGTGTTTTAACTTTCCATCTTCTTTCCTTTTTACGTTGCAATGTAACATTGGAAGTTCCCCTTCCTGACTTTCTAATTCATAAGTGAATTGAATTGATATCTGGAAAATTGTACTACCCCTACGACGACAAACAGGAGAGGACAAAGAAAACTATAAAACTAAAGTTTCGAAGTCGTGTGATTATAATTGATGATGAAATGACTATGAACAATAATGAATTTTGTTCGAAACGTCATCCAGTAAATAATACTGGAATAAATTATATGGAATTACTTACCACCACAGTGCCCAAGTTTTACACATATATTAGTAGGTGGTGTGTTTGAATGATGAGTTTTCCCGCCTTCTTAAGACATGTCAATTGGTCTAAACCTGTTCACACTGTAGACCCAAAATCTTTCAAACAAATTCATCCAAATTGTTGATATTAGATGGTTGGAGGCAATCGGCAGGAAGCCTTGTCTGACGTAGGTTTCGTGTCATTTGGCACTCACCATTATTCAGCAAGGCGTATCTGCAACCTTGAAGGAACACTCATGTCCCTTCTGAGATTCGAACCCGAGTCACCTAGTGCTGCAGCCAGAGACGTTACCACTTAGCTATTCATGCTCGCGATTGACCTCCTATAGGAATGTATTGGATATTTTTGACTGACCACTAGTCATTAACTAATGTAACGCATCTAGTCCTAGCATGGTGGCCACACTGCAAACTTGACTGATAGAATTCAGTCTGCACCGAAGATAGGACTGGACACACACATTACGCTAGTTACTAACTAGTGTGCAAGCAAAAATATCCAATACAGCAGTCCTACAGGAGGTTAATCGTGAGCCTGAATAGCTCAGTGGTAACGTCTCTGGCTGCAGCACTGGGTGACGCAGGTTCGAATCTCAGAAGGGACATGAGTGTTCCTTCAAGGCTGCAGATACGTCTTGCTGACCAGTGAATGCCAACTAACACGAAACCTAGGTCCAAGGCTTCCTGAGGCCGATTGCCTCCAACCATCTAATCCTAAATCCATGATTATTATAATACAAATAGCCATTAAAAGGCATGTGAAAATTATATCGGAAAGTGTATTGAGCTACATGTATAATATGGGAATGATAGTTCGTTATTATTGAGAACATAAGATAGGGATTAACTAAAAGAAACTACTAAAATGAAACAAGTTTTATTTATTTATTTAAACGCATAAAAAACTTGGTACAATATGGCACCAAGAAAGATGCGCCACACAATAATAATAAAACAACGTAGATCAAAAAAAGGAAGGAAGGAAAAGAAAAAATATATATAAGTAGAGAACGGATAAAGAACTTCATCTGGAAGGAAAACAGTCACGCTTAACAAGTTCAAACAGTGTTCGTTAGCTATCATCGGGAAGGGAAGAAAGAAGGAAATCGCAACACATTCGCCACTGATTACGATTCTTGGCCATATCCGATAACGTTTCGAGCCATCGGCTCAAGCTATCTCTCGGACTTCAACCAAGGAGTCATGACGCACCAACCGATGCCAAACTAGCACAAAAATCCTTCATCCCGCGACGCCACGTCATGGACTGACCACCTCTCCGTCTTTTCCATCCCGTCTCAGGGCTAGCGAACAGAGACCTGTACGGAAGCCTCTGGGGTGACATTCGGAGCACATGTCCAAGCCACCGGAGCCGGTGTTTCCAGATGACGACATTCAATGAATGGTGATCTCCACTTTGTTCAAACACACGCCGCCGAACCTCAGAATTACTCACGCGATGATGCCATCGAACGCAAGCAACCCTGCGGAGACAGCGGTGATCGAACATGCAGAGTCGCCGCACATCCTCAGCCTTCTCGGAGAGGCCAGGTTTCACAGGCGTAGAGAAGCGCAGCCCGCACCGAAGCATTGTATACCCGACCTTTGACAGCCAGGCTAACGTCGCGACGGCGCCATAGGTGGCTCAAGTTGATGTATGCCGCCCTAGTACAAGTACAACACTGAAATTTGAATAACTATGTGTATGTACACGGTCGACTATTTAAAACCGTATCTTATACTTCATTTAAACAGCATACATTTTGCATACGATAAAGGGATAGTCGTAAAGAGTAAGCAAGATGAGGAAGGTGATGTGAGTAAAGGAGAATGATGCTCAGCAAGGCTTCGTGTGCTTTTGGAAGTGTGTGGGCAGTTGTTACTTCCCGGCTGCCCACACCGTGAAAGTTGATTGATTCTTCGGGTATCTGAAACAGAGAGAGGGTTAGTGTTGCGTGACTGCAGAGCCCAGGGGACAACTGCTTGTGGCCAGCCGGTCACACACAGCCCGTATGAACTGGTTTCTGAGATTGGTTCCGTATTAGTCAACTTTCCACCGATTACGGACCACCGTAGGTGGGGTAAGTCGAAATGCACAATTTTTGGGGTCGACCTTTTCTAACCCCATCTCTCTCTCTCTCCGGAGTGGAGAGACAGCATAGCTGGCTGGCATGCTGGTCATCTGAGGGAAATACCTCACTGCTGTTACACCCCTGTTCCCCAGCAGTACGACCTCGCCCTCAGATCCCCAGCATAGTGTAAGAAAGATTCTTACACAATGCCTGTAACTGCTTTTAGTCTAATCGCTATCCTAACAACCTTCCTGGCTTGTTAGGATCTGCATCAACATTTGTTCCAACCAGTGTAGCTTGTTGGGTCATCGCGTTGTGCAAGCCCGACCACCACGTCAAGGTAGCAGCTATCGGTCGGGAGTCGTAAAGAACGTCGTAACATTATCTTCAATATAATACTGTTTGAGGTATCAAATAAGCAGACGTACAGTATTGATGTTAGATGGTTTCAGGCAATCGGCAGAACCCCCCCTCCTGAGATTATCGATTTTGTGCTTGATGACACTCCTCATCTAGGTGTATCTGACGTTTTGAAGGAATGTGTGTCCTGTAGTAGTATTCGAACCGTCGTCTCCCGCAGTACTGCAGTCAGAAACGTTAACATGTACTTTTCGGATTCGCAACTAAGCTCCAGTAGGACTGTATAGTGAGTGACAAATCAAATTGCCCGATGTCTTGTAATTCATGACTGTGTTCATTCCATTCCTGTTCATTTTTCTTTTTCTGTGAAGAGGTGGCTTGTTGTTTGTTTGTTATTTTTCACATCTCTCAGGAAGAGACCTACCGTTTGTTTTCTTGTTCATTTTTTTTAGAATTGGCCAGAGAGAGTTGCCTGCAAGAATTTCGTTGGGATTCTGGTTCACGAAGTACTGGATGGCCTTGGAAAGAGCATCTACCATCTGATAGTATTGTAAGTCAAATATGTGTTCACTTTGATTGCTGCTGCTAATCAACACGTTAAGAAATTTAGTATTGAAAGATTAAAAATCTGTTGTTTTTTTTAAACATTAAGATCAGCCCTTCCTTCTTTTTGGCACTTTCTTGTGTTTAAATGTTGTATATACCTGAGTTTCAATCATAATTCAAAGTATAGGTTGCTTTCATGACCTCACCCGCCCCATAAAAGGTACTAACATACAGGTTCATATCTGTTGGCACCTGCCTTCTCATTGTTGGTTGTTGTAACCTAGTAGTTTAGGCATTCAACGTCCAAAATGTCAGCAAACAAAGCTAATTGCCTGGCGTCGTATGCACACGCTATGATGGCTGTGTAGTATGTCAATTGGAAATGCTAAATTTAACCCCTGAAGTATTTAATGAAGTTAAAATGTGTCTAACAAACAAATCTAACCACCAATCACCTGTCACTGTTGAAAGCCATAATTCTAAAAACACTGTCGACTCTAATTCATCAGTCAGTCAGAAACACTCTGTTTGATACTTCTTTCCGTATATAACGTATGAAGCTGAACCAGAATCAGATCATTCACTGAGTCATGAAGCTATATTTTAAAATCCTATGCGAACTAGAAAATGTTTGGTTGATATGAATGATTGGTTTCTGTGTGTGCTCCTTTGATAACCTCATGGATATCGATGTTATGATTTATGCTAACGCTGATTTCTGTGACCACAAATACTTGCCTTCTGTTTCGTGTGGTGTGAGTATAACAATACGGTTAGGCGTACAGTGTTAAACAAGAAGAGGGAAAGTTGATCACAATGCAGTCGTTGCAAAACTACATCGACTTATGTGTCCAGAAAGCGTGTTGCGTATTCCGAACCCTCACCATCATCCCGATGAGCCATGTAAGCTAATATGGTATTGAGATAGAAAAGAGTTAGGGGTTGTCAAACTGACAGTTGTTTTGAGCCCTATACGGAGGTAGGTGTATACGAAGGTAGACTACCTGGTTGAAATGATGAGGTTGCTAAACACTAACGATTTGATGAAACTATTAGGGATATGGATCAAAATCCTTCTCAATGATTCAGATGTACTTACTCCTTGTGAACTCACATATCCAATGAACCGTCATATTTTTCCATGTTATTACCCTTTATCCCGTACATTTCTGCTCACGTCTAAATTTCTTTCTCCTTTTTTTACTACTTTTGTGTGCGTGTACTGTATAAAGATTGTGGCAACTTGAACTGATGTATTTTTGTGCAAAGTTCTACGTTGTAACTTAGTCAGGTAGGATTTATAACGTTGACTAGTGCCAATCCTCACAGGGATCCTCATTAGTTCGTTTGTCAACAGAATTTTGTACATATATAATTCAATTTTAGATATTTTCCCATCGACTGATTGGACTGAAGTACTCGGTCTCAGGCTGACATGTCGGCTCCCTGTGCAGATACTTCGACGATATCTTGTTATGCAACTTGAAGTTAATTGGCGGATGGTTCACAAGTAATGGAATCCAAGATGCACACTCCGTCCCATTTGCGAATCATCTGCTGGATGTACCTGTATTCCCCACTGAGTGATGGTATTCCCCGAGTACTTCTGCCCGATCAATGGACGGGAAAAGCTAAAATTGAATTGAGTAATCGATGAGACGAGACCCATTGCACAACAGCAGGTGGCTCTTGTGACCGAAATAACGCTTTGGCATTTGAAACTATGGGCACTGAATCCGACCTTTGTTGGGAGCACCCTCACTCACCTGGGAATGCAGGTACATCCATCCACCTGACGAGTCCCAAATAGAACGAAATATGCGTTATCTTGGATTCTACTGCTAGTCACCATCCACCAATTAACTACAAGTATTTTATATACTCGTTATGGATATACTTTTAATAAATACGATCGTATTCCCATTTTTTGGGAGGGGTGTGTGCTTAGACCCGTTCATATTTCTGCTTCTTGTCTTTCTCTCTCCTATCTATTTTATTTCTATCAAGAGGTTCGCTCTCTCTATTCAACACACAGATTTTTCCCTATATAAACGTTGTAAATAGAACAATACAAGCTTTTTGTTCACATATCAGTTAATTAGCTGACTTACAGCTATACACACAATAATAAATCTAAATAATGAATGATTATCATCTGTCAGTTATCTGATTATTAATCAAACTGATTGACATAAAAGTTCCTTTTCTTTTCTTTGCTCAATGAACAAGTATATATTGTGTTTGTTTGTTTGTTTGTTTGTTCGTTCGTTCGTTAACTCGTCATTTACTTTTCTCTTCAACGGTTAATCTGCTAATCTGTTTTTTGGTTAATCAACTACTTTTCTGCATGAATTCACTACTGAATAATTATATACATATATTGAGTTAGACCATGGATTGATAATCAGTTAGAGAACCATTGAAAACCAACACTGGTGTACTGGACACCTGTTTCATCCTAGTTTAGGACTCATCGGCAGTACGCTCCCATCGTTCCGGTTACCATTCAGCCAATGGGACCTGATTCAATGGCTCATGAATTCTAACTTCTACTATAATTTGTGATATTTTGCACGTTCGTCTCATAACCTGAAGGTCTTGGGATGAATCACTTAATTGGGTCATAGAGGATGCACTACTACAACGCTTGCGCCTTTATCTGGTCGTGTTGGTTCTCATTTTGTTTTCTTATCTTAACCAAGTTGAATGAAGTATATTTTTCTTGGTGAAATTCTGAAGCTATTTATGTTCTTGCCTCTTTTATAAACTGATGTGTACATTTAAGCGACAACGATTTGATGCTATTACACTGATCTTTGTTGTATTTGTTAATCCTATTCAACCCGATGGAGTCGAATAGAAAATCTTCAAAATTTCCAGAAAAAAATATGTTTTTAATTACTCCTAATCAGACACTGCACGATGAATGCACTTTTAAAAATCTGATCAATAATGCTCAAGTTCTGACGCTGAATTCACTACTAGAAGACTTTAATTACTTCAAATCATCGTGGTTTACTTGTACACATCAGTTTATGAAGTCGAAACCATAGAGAGAGGTGGTTTCAACATTTAACTAAGGAACATTTTTATTGGACTTAGTAAACTGACGAAAATAAACAAGAGTAATAATAATAATAATAATAATAATGGTAAAGCTTTATTTAAGACAGTATGCTAGTATACAGTACAAAAATTTTCAGCGTATTCAGTTCCAAAGTACTTTTTCTTCGCACAGGATTGACATGTAAAGTAATAATCTGAAGTATATCTTCATTTCGTTGAAGAATTGTACAGCGTTTACTTGGGAGCAAGTTAAATCATCGCGCAAGTTTGTGTATAGGTCATTTGATATATAACTGGACGATTAAAACAATGATAAATCCAGATGAAATTAAGCATTTTGGAGGAAAGTAATTTCGGTAACCCAATGATTTAAGCAGGCCGCCTTATTAGGACGACCAGATGTGAAGGTGCAAGCATATTATATTGTATTGATAAGATGCTCTACACATCCTCTCAGATAAGTCTTAATTTCAGGAACCTTGAAAGCGAGGAAAAAAAATCCTTTTTGTTATAAATATTTACTAAATAAATAAATAATAATTCGAATTTTCAGCACTAATCTCAAGTCATTCAGAAACTTGAAGAACTCATCGTGAAAAGCATTTCCAATAGCGCCGTCCACTTCTCTACCTACTGAAGATAATTTGGCTGATCAGAAAGGATCAGCAACAAGGAACTCTGGCAACAAATTAGCAGAAAATTGCGATTGACTTTTGACACATATCCTTAGGACATCGTTGAATGACCGTGCACAAGACCTTGAAGTGATACCCAAGTGGGAAATAATAAGTTAGGTAAACGTAAGAGTGGCTTGGAGGAAATTTAAGTGACGAGGACATGAAAGCTTATGGACAGTCGTGGAGCCAGTGAAAAATGACTGCAGAGAACAGAGTCAAAGGCAAATATGTCGGCGAATCCCGGTGTTCCACTTGGAACCCAAGGGAATAATGATGATAATAATAATAATACAGTGATATGAATACTAAAGGCCTACAATCGTTTCACCGACTGTCGACAGTATCGTCTATTCGGTACTAGAATCGGCTTTGAGATGAAAATTGTATTATGTCATCGTCTAATTCGTAATATTGCCTTTTCATATTCTCTTTTTCTCTATTTCGTTTGGTGCATAGCTTTCTTTGTATCTTCTTTCATATCACCTAATAGAGTCTACTGTTGGTGTTAGGTTTGGCGACTTTAATCAGTGCTTCATAATGCTAAATCTTTTTTGTTGAGACATGAAATCTCCCCCCTCCCCCTCTGTCTGTGCGTATATTGGCATTTGGTCGTAAACGCATTTCATAGGTTTTTTAATAACAGATATTTTTGGCACACTACTAGAACAAAATTGAGATGTACTGCTTCGTCCCAGTTTGGGACTCTTCACAGCACACACACACACCGCCAGGGTTCGAACTCAGGAGCTTCTGGTTACGAGGCGAGCTTGTAGGCCATCGGGCCATGGCACTGGTGAAGAGACCCAAACTAGGACGAAGCAGCTGCCCAGTACTCCCAGGTTTTCCAATCTCTCTCTTTCTCTTAATATATATATATATATATATATATATATATAAAATCGAACTCGTTACTTCTGTGTGAACTGTATACCTAACACTAGTGTTGTTCATCCAATATATGCCTCATAACTGTAATAATAAAGTAATTCTTTCACAAATAAGTTTTCTTTTTTTTTGTTATTAAAACTTTTAGATTTTACTGCATTTATTTGCCACCTATATGGATACACGTATGCCACCTCATCCAAAGTGTTTATCTGGTCGGGTATTTAGTCAACTGAATGTTGTTCGAATTCCTGATAAGCCTGGTGAGTTAATATAAATTTATATTTCTTAATCATTCTCATTACAATATTGATTAAGAACTGATTTGAGTTAAAGTATCTTAAATTACTGGATAGATGTTTCATCCTTGTTTTCGTCAGTAAGCACTCAGGGAGAACCTTCAGGTTATAAGACGAGTGTTATGAACCTGGATGGAGGTATACATGGGTATAATAACGACCTCGAGTATGCAGACATTATCGTTTTACTGTGCGATAGCATGCAGGCTGCCTAAATCGCACTCAATCAGTTGACGATCAGTTTCTGTAAGTAGTGTGTGTCCTTTACTCTGTCTAAGTGTAAAGTACTGTTACAAGATTCCCAGGAGCCTGTGTTTGCATTTACTCTTGCAGGTGAACCGCTTGAAATTGTTGATAAGTTTGTGTATCTGGGTGGTTGTGTGAGTGCTGGCAAAGGATGACGGATGAGATTTCTAACCGTATTATGAAAGCTAGGGCGGCATACATCAAATTGAGTCACGTCTGGTGCAGTCGTGACGTTAGCCTGATTGTCAAATGTCGGGTATACAATGCTTCGGTGTGGGCTGTCTTGCTCTACGCCTGTGAAACCTGACCTCTCTGACCTGAAGATGTGCGGCGACTCTGTATGTTCGATCGTCGCTGTTTCCACAGGATTGCTTGCGTTCGACAGCATCATCGCACGAGTAATTCTGAGGTTTGGCGGCGTGTGTTTGAAAGCAGTGGAGATCACCATTTATTGAGTGTCGTCATCTGGAAACACCAGCTTCAGTGGCTTGGATACGTGCTGTGAATGTCATCCCAGAGGCTTCCGTACTGGTCTCTGTCCGCTAACCGTGGGACGGGATGGAAAAGGTGGAGAGGTGACCAGCCCATGATGTGGCGTCGTGGGATGAAGGATATTTGTGCTAGTTTGGCATCGGCTGGTGCGTCATGACTCCTTGGTTGAAGTCCGAGAGATAGCTTGAGCCGATGGCGAAGAATCGTAATCAATGGCGAGCGTTCTGTGATTTCGTTTTTTCTTCCCTTCCCAATGATAGTTGGCTAATGCTGTTTGAACTTGTTAAGTATGACTATTTTCCTTCCAGATGAAGTTCTTTATCCGTTCTCTACTTATTATCGTTGTGTGGCGCATCTTCTTGGTGCCATATTGTACCAAGTTTTTTTGCGTTTAAATAAAAATAATAAAGCAGATATAATGGACGATTCAACTGATATGCTAGATACGGTTATTCATCCCTTAGTCACTTCCGATTCACGGAGCCACACGTAAATATCAAAAGGTAAGGACTTGCCTGTAACTGTGAAGATACAATTTTTTTTGGGGGGGGGGGAAGCACGTCATATTTATATATATCTAACCACATTGAAATTTAGCTAGTGCTGTGGGAAAGAAATTGTTCTGACTGCTAATCGGTTTGACTAGGTCAATGGAAAGAAAATGATTTGCGGTTGACCCAGAGGCACAAGGTGTAAGGTGTCATCCGACCAGAAGATGACTACTATTTGTAACCCCTTTCTATCAGCGGGCTCGTACACCACTGCACCACTAAGCTGTCGGGATCTCCGATCCAGCCAGTCTATGAATTCTAACTTCTGCCAATTAGGGATATATAGCGTGACCGCCTGCCAATGTCATCGGCGAGTACTTGTCCTCTCATTAATATGTTTGTTAATCGCTGATTCACTTGAGTACCAGGCTTCTAGGAATTCTGTAGCACTTGGTGTTTCCTCTATTCGAAACATTTCGACATTATCGCATTATTCTAAAACATGCGCTGACGATGTTGTCCAGAAGGACGACGAAAGCTTCGCAGTTAAACCAACCAACCAGCTCAGAGAACACAACTGATTCCAAATAGGAAGGATGTGTATGGATTAAAAGCAATTTGGTGTTTATTTTAAGCCTTGCAAGATTATAATCAGATAGATGTAGTAGATATTCTCTGCTTCCACACGCATATGTGGTATGGGGTTCGACTCCAGACCGGCAACGCAGCGTTAAACTTTGCATAGTTTACTAGTCGATAATAAGCTCTGAAAAGAGGGAAGGTTAGTTGTACTTCATTTCTTTTTAGCAATGTTTTAGTCAGTCGTTAAAGTGTCTGTACCCCCTACGTGTGTGCCTTCATAAACGTGGATCAGTTACAATCTAACTCCAGAATGAAGTACACTATAGCATAGCATTACTCCCTGAGTTTTGTATTTTTATATTTGCATCGGTGGCACAGCGGTTAGGACTCTCGCCGAGCATTGCCACCGTCCTGGGTTCAAGCCCCCAGCGACACACACCTGATATCTATGGACGGACTGCAAAATTTTGGCTACCGATATCACATGCTGAAAATTTCATACTTGTACCAAAAATACGGTGTGAAATCAAGCTGTAATCAAAATAAAATAAATAATTATGTGCTAATGACTAACTTTCTTTTGTGAGTGAGGATTCTTCAACCTTTTGATTATTGCACCCGAGTTCTTTGATCCTCTGCGTACTTCTAGAGGTAGGTAGTTTAGCTAGACGTAGGCATTCTGTAGATTACTGAAGACCACCTTAATTGATGAACTTGTATGTTTGCCTACAGGACGAAGTTATTTATTGGCATTCTTTCCTAATCGACAACTTGTCGTCTGTTCACTGTGGTTTGTCACATAAACGTTTCTTGGTAACTTGAAGTGAATTTACTGAAGTGATCGCCTTGAAGTGCTTTGCTGTTCCCCTTCCCGACTTTACAGTTAATATTGATTGACTTCAACGTTATTTCATTTTCTGAATGAGTTTCCCTTTCACCAGAGGTGTTTTACGCCGTTTACACCGTTTCTGGCGTAGACGTGATATCCGACCGGCTATCGACCACAGTCCGTTCCATCCTCCTTTATGGCTGTGAGACCTGGCCATTGACTGTGGAAGACATGAAAAGGTTAGCTGTCTTTGATTATAGATGACTGCGCTCTGTCTCCCGTGTGAAGAGTGGTATAATAAGGTGAGCAATATTGAGGTTAGGCTTCGGTCAAGTGCTGGGTAGGTGGGAGGAGAAATCAATCGACGAGGTTGTGAAGTTACATCGACTGAGATGGTTAGGACATGTGTTATGTACGCCTAGATATCGCCTTCTTCGGCTGATGGGCAATGCTAGCTGACAATAGGGTCAGGTTGGAAAAGAGCTAGCGGCGGTCAATCCACAACATGGCCTCATCAGTCAATGAAATCCCCGACAGTCAATTTAAGCCAGCCATGGAGGAAGGTAGACTTCCTGACTGGTTAGGCTCATCGGGACGGTAAAAACCAGTGACAGCTGGAGACAATCGGTGATATGGCCGGTTCAAAGTCGTTCTCAATGACTAGCTCAGATGCATCCACTCCTTGTGACTTATAATATTCAATAAATCTATTTTGTTCTTCGTTATTACTATTCCTTTGTCTCATATCCCTGTTTACTATCTTTATTTTACACTTCTTCTACTTTCTTCTCTTGCTTTGTGTGTTACATGGAGTGAGTGTGGCGACTTGAACTTCTGCACATCGGTGCAAAGTCTTATGTCGAAAACAGACAGACAGAGAGACATCGAATGCGCTCGTTTTGTAAAATTTATGATTGGTTATATTTCATGGTTGTTGTCGTCAATATTCACACTAATAGTGTCAATCGTAATTAATTCTTCTTCCTTACTTTCTCTCTCTCTCCTATCTTACAGATATCAAAAGCAAGCATACTTGTCAATTTTATCAAGTCTCTATTCAACCGCCTCAATTCAAATTAGTACTGAATGGACGAATTTATACATTTGCTACAGTAAGCAGTACTATTCTCTTGTGAACTAATCTTCTAATTTTTTTGTTCCGCTTTTCATAGGGTCAGAAAAATCTCTATCATGCTATTCTGCTATTTTTTCATCATTATTTAACAACGGAAGCAAAGTTTAGGTGAGTGTTGTACAAAAAACCAATGTGCTACTAGTGATTTTTCATCGTATTTTTTTCGAAACGTAATTACGTAACAAATTCAATTTTAGATTTTCCCGACGATTGACTGGACTGAAGTGCTCTCCGGTGTCAGGTTGACATGTCGGCTTCTAGTGCTGCAGATGCTTCGACGATGTCTACGCATGTAATTAGAATTTTTAATTGGTGGATGGTGGATGGAATCCAGGACAACATGCATTTCGTCCTATTTGGGACTCGTTAGTAACTGGATGTACCTGCATTCTCCAGTGAGTGTGTGAGAGATGATGTTCCCACCGAGACTCAAACTCATTGCCTATAGTTTCAAACGAGAAAGCGTGGCCCAAGTGGTCTGGTGGATAACGCTTTTACGTTTGAAACTATGAGCACTGGGTTTGAGCCTCGGTGGGGACATCAGGCAGGCACATCCAGATGACGAGTCTCAAATGGGACGAAATGCGCAGCGGGGATTCTACTACTAATCACCATCCATCAATTAACTAGTAATTAGTAATTATATATATCACTTATTTTCTTGATGATCTATAACTTTGTGTAGTTCACTGTTGACAATGTAGGTATGCGTTCGTAGATATGGGATGAAATGTTCGCCAACCACTTGCATGATCTGCTCACTGACGCATTCTTAAACCTCGCCGAACTGGGCAAGTTTGAGTGTAAGGCTAACCACCTCACCTCGTGACAGCCTAAAGATTGAAGCTGTATGTTTCGCTCAGGACGACAAATAAAACAGAAATGAAAATGTACTCAGATTTGTGATTCATTTAAGGATTTCATCTTTCGCCTTTACTCTTCTTGCCTTAAAACCTGTCCTCATCAACTGAAGACTTGAAATCAGTCACATTGTGTAGGTTTGCAAGTGTTTATCGGCATCTAGTCTGTTGTTCTTGTTGTTGTTGAAACCACAGTGACTGTGAGACTGGGCTGTGATGAGAACTTCAAGTTTGTCTGACTAGTATATGTGTGGATCGAAGACGATTGAACTGTAGTGTCAATACTTTCAATGCCTACCTTCACTTTGAATATTAATTAACGTAATGCCTATTTTTGTTGACTTTGCCATTCCCCCTCTTTTATCATGGACATCTATTGTGTTTTGTCACTTGCGAGAATAGTTATTGAACAAAGAATATGCTTTTCAATAACTCCTTCTTCAGCAGGTTCCACAGTTATATATATACATATTAGTAGTTAAGGAATTAGTCTTATTACCAACGTTGGTGTTGTTTAAATAATAAAATCGAATCAACAATAATATCGAGGGGTTACAACTCGATAGCATTAAACAAAGGAATACACTGAATATCAGAAAAATTGGGAAAAATAATAATACGCATTCATGGATTTTATAGTCTCTATTGAAAGCCAGAGCAGCAGTAGTAGTAGTAGTAGTAGTAGTAGTAGTGGCTGGATGTGCTTCTTCTGCATACAGAGGATCGGTTATTTAAAGGGGATCGCGGTAGCCTCTGCTGTTTGTAGTGTGTGACACACCTGGATGTTTTTTGGCAATTTATTTGGTACCCGATAGATTTTGGAGAAGAGGACTCTTCCATATTAGCTTTGTGTGGCCGGTTTGGACCAGGTGGTCTAATATCGAAATATTGATGGGTTTTTTTCACTTCACTTTTATTTAACCACACTGGTAGATGTTCTCGAGCGAGCACAAAAAATCCAGTACATAGAGCAACGGCCACCACCACCACAAGCGCAGTTGGATTGGCAGATACAACTGGAAGTGGCTAGCTAGTCTAGGGGAATCGGGGAATCACCATCGGTTGTGTAGAAAACATGACTCGTAGTTAACCAGCATTAAAAGTTCTTTGAACTGATTTTCTTAACCTGTTAGTAATTATTTCACTAGGTGTGTGTGTCTCACCCTAGAATTGCGATCCTCTATGTATATAGGCTTCTTATTTACAGATGAAGAATAGTGCTTCTCTGCTTTCTTGGTCATGTGTTCCTTGATGTGAACTTTTCTGGATAGCTTTTTTTCAGTTAGGGTGTCATACGCGATGCCTAGATCATCTTCAGTTACCTCTTCTGAGCATATAACCCTAACCCTGTGGCTGAGGGTCCTTTCTAAATTTGTTATTTTTGTTTTTATTACTTTATCTTCCTCCTGTTGTGATCTCCCTTGTGTGTATGCGTATGTGTGTCGAATTCTGTTGAGCCACCTTTTTTACAATCAAAACTACAACCTCAGTTCAGTTCTATTGGCTACTTCTGACAACTGTAAAAAGCGGATTCATTTGTTGTAAGCTGATGATGTTAACACTGAAGCCGGTCGAATTCGATGAATGCTTAGTGTATCTTTTAAATTTATGCTAAGCTTTATTCAACAAATTTGGCTATATTTTATAAATGGAATAATAACCTTGGGTGCATAGTTCTTTTCAGTCAGTATACCCGATCATATTTGGTTCGTGTTCAAAATAGTAAAAAAGCATATTACCTAATATGGATCTTTCATCAATTCCGTTTCTTCCGCTACACACTGTAAATCAATATATATATATATATATATTCAACCTCTACTCAATAATGTACGTCGGTAGTTATTTGGTAGAATACCTTGTCCTGGATTCGATTTCCAGTCGACGTACTCCTCCTAGACCTTGCTTAGCCTCATTGTAAACTAGTGTAAAAGGGTAGTTTAAGCTACCTGCTTCACGTCGTAAAAACAGAATAATACCATTATTACTACGGAAAATTCAAAGCATGAAGCCTTATATCCCTCTCGGAGCGTGTATGAACGTGCGGGAAAGAGAGAGAGCGAGATTTTTAGCCCGTGATTCTTTCGCCAGTTCTCTCCTCCTTGATAATGTCTTTCTGTAAATAGTAAAACTCGATTTTATTTGAGGCATGCCCACTAAGCAAAGGGTGTGTGTGTGTGAATGAGTTCATCTGTGCTTAGCGTGTCATGGAAAGATTTATTTAAAGGTTGATGAATTTTTATCCTCAATAATACATCAACACAGGGAGTTGTTGAATTTTCTGTAGTTTGAGATAACTATTTCAAATAAACGTGATCGTATGAGCTCCTTTGTATCTATTCGAGTATTTTAGGGTATAAATATAAATATTTGTTCAAAATCACATGAGTGAGTAATATTTTTAGGCTTATCTGTTAGATATAAGGCGTTAGTTAACTTGTGAATGAGTATTGCATTTTGAATCCTGTGCCTGTCTGTCGTGTGAGTATACCTCATATTATAGCCTACTACTACTAATAAAATCTCAGCCTTTAATAGTGAGTGTATCAGTCAGTGCAGGTTTTTATCTTTCACCACAGCCTCCTAACTAGTCTGCATACAAAAATAGTTCAGACTTATGTTAACTATTTCAGTGACTCATCTAGTTGACTGTTTGTTTGCCAACCAAGTACATCCTCGGGTTTCGATTCCCAACCGACGCATTCCTTAGTCTCTCAATGCTCAGTCGACAGTAAGTCTCTAATAAGTAAAGAAAGGTTCTGCATGGGGATAGCAGCAAATCAGCCGTATAAAACTGTTATGTACTCGTCGAGTAGTTAATAGTCCTGACGCGGATAGAGGGAAATCAGAAGACCACCAGGTTTACGATGATACTTGTATATTCCAGACAAGGAAAATAAATGTCACACTAGTGTGTGAGTGAAATGGTACTTAGTGTACGAAACGTGTGAACAGGAATGATAAAGCAAGAGTATATATGAAAATGGCTTATACACATGAACCAGTAAGATAACGTCTTACCATGATTGGTTGTAATGTCATGTGATAATAAGCTCATACATTGTTTATTTAGTTAGTGGACAGACAAAAGTATAATGTCAGTTATAATGAAGTATCGATCCATATACACATAGCAAAATATAACAGACTGTCAAAAACAAAACACACATCATATGGATACATATCAAAAACCAGCAACAACAACGCCATCACGAGGGAAACTTCTAAGCTCAACCTTGAAATCCTAATTCTCAACAGTCTGTCTAATCTAATTGGACAGTTTTATGTTATAAAAGAGCAAATAACTGTAAGAGTACTAATATATATTACTGTTTGTTCTTTTTCTTTTCTTTTTAGGTCAATTGCATTAGGTCCGTCTGGCTTAAATGTTGCATGGATATTTTCAAAGTCTTGATTTGCTTGTTGTTGTATTTGTATATAAAACTGTACATCTGTGTGTGTGTGTGTGTGCGTGTATGAATACATTTTGTAATTATGTTTTTATGATTAAGATTATTACTGTTATTATAACATTTTCCGGTTTTTGTATTACTGTAACTGATATAAACTAATAAAAATTTTCTGTAATAAAAGTAGTTATGCTTTTTGACGATATATAACCTCCAGGCATTACCTAAACACAGTAGCGCATTTATCGTCGTTCCTTAAGGGGAATTTTCCATTATATAATTGGCAACCATTGTATGTTTGTAAGAAATGATATGAATTCGTCTAACTGTTTGACGTCTTGATAGAAAAAGCATTTCTTCGGCAAATATTTTGTCTTTTTCATTTTACACATCGTGAACACCCTTAGGTGTACTTGATAATAATTCTATGTTTAAGCATCCATCCTATTGCGTTGTAACAGGTTATATTAGTTCGTTCATATTTGGATGTTCCAATCATCCAAAGTAACACTGAGGTTAGGCAGGAACGATATGGTTCTGGAATTGCACCGATTATGATGGTTAGGATGGGAGTTAGCGAATTGGTAGGCCATTAAGCCACTGGGACCCGATCCAATGGCCAACGCATGAATTCTAACTTCTTCCAATTCACGATAAAGCGCGACCGCTAGCCAATGTCTTTGGCGTGTATTTCTCCTCACACCAGACCTGCTGCACCCCACCGGTCACGACTTCCCACTAGAACCCCAGGTTAGGCGTAGAGTTCTAGGTAAACAGGGGAAATCAATCGACGAAGTCGTGAAGCTACAAAGACTGAGATGGTTAGGACATGTGTTACGTATGCCAAGTCATCGCCTCCCTCGACGAGCTATGTTAGCGGATATAGGGTCAGGCTGGAAAAAAGCTAGCGGCGGTCAAACAAAAACTTGGCATCAGTCAATGAAATCCACAACAGTTGGTCTAAGCCACGTAGGAAGGTGTAGACTTCCAGGCTGGGGTCCTCGGGACGGTAAAAATCAATGGTTGGAAACAATTGGTGACATGGCTCAAACTCATCGTTCTCAGTGGCTAGCGCAGATGCATCCACTCCTTGTGACTTATGATCTTCAATGAAACTGTTTTGTATTTCTTTATTACTCCTTTGTCTCACACTTCTGCTCACTGTTTCTATTATGCTTTTCTTGTACTTTCTTCTCTTGCTTCGCGTGCTACACGGAATGTGGCGACTTGAACTTCCGCACATTTGTGCAAAGTTCTATGTCGAAAACAGACAGAACCCCAGGTAACTACCTACCTGAATAGAGCCAGTCGCCAGCGAGTATCTCATTGATATTCAAGTATTGGTTGGCCTACGAGCTCACCTTATAACCAGAAGTTCCTGGGTACGGACCCCGGTGGGTGCGTACTGTGAAGGGTCCCAAACTAGGATGAAACAGCTGTCCAGTACTCCAATGGTTCTCTAACCAATGTCAGCTTCTGATGAAATGCTGTAACACATCACCACTTTATTCTGTTTTCTGCCATCCTCTTTAGCTGTGTCCACGATTGACCAAACACTCTTATCCCTTACTCACACGATCTCCATCTCACCACCCTGTCATTGACGACCCACTCGTCGCTTCCCATTTGGATTCCACTCAAGCAATGGCATGGCGTGCAATATCATTCGATGGTCGCCTCAAAGTATGTCTGATCCATCTCCACTTTCTCCTACATATTTGTTGAGCGATCGGCTCCTGGTAGTGTTTGTTCCCATAGTTTCTTGTTACTTATTCTTTCTGACCATTTCATCTTCGGTATGGAGCCAGCGAAGGCAGCTGTTGATGAAAATCTACAACTGGCTGTTTGTTGGAAATCGTTTTCGTGACAAGTTAGCTGGCCAAGTTTCTGACCCGTAAAGAAGAACCGACTTCACATACTGGTGTTGAAAATGCGAATCCTGTTCCTTATGTGCAATCTGAGTGAAGCAAAAGATTTCCAAACTGGTTTCAGGTTGATGAAGGCGTGCGTATCTCGCCTTTCCAAGGATAAAAAGTTAGTTAGTGCAAGTCAAACGTACCGCGATTCCAACGCAGTCAACTTGAATAGGTAGAATGAAGGTGGTCAGTCGCGACTTGATTTACCTCGGGTAATTGATCTTATATCACTTACCTATAGGAGAATTCTGTAGTTATATCAGATGTTATTGATATGTTACACACACCGCCTCTGTCCTCGTTGAACATTGCTTGCTGAAACAAGATTAGGTTAGAAAGAAGTAAGCGGTGGCAAAAATCATAGTGTTGCACCAATCTATGAACGTTTGGACGGTCGGTATGAGTCAAAAACTTGAGGATGTTTAGACCGGCTGGTGGGGTTTCTTGAAGAACTATAGGTAGAGGTTGTCAGTGACATGATGTAAACGCGTATCATCTCTTTATGAGCTTTCAAATCCAACTTTATTGTCAATATTCAGGTTTAGAAGTTGTTTTGTTCGAATCTTCTCTAACTAATAGTAACTCCTGAGATTGACACTCGTAGTGGTTAGCATCCGTCAGTCTTTGTTTCTGAATAGTGGTCAAGTGAACAGCTAGCAAGAAATCGAGTTTGCGTGTTAACCCTCCGAAAACACGAGACATAACTTATTGAATGAATTTTAGCCAACTCAGTTGACGATGATGCTTTTTCCTGACTCGTCCAATACTCTTTACCCAGTTGAGACAATGAGATAAACCTGGATAGATATGCATCAATTCAGATGTGGTAATCTTCAAGGAAGAGTAGGGGGTAACTATTACAACGGTAGATATACGTAATTATGGAGGAGAATATTTCATTATGGTCAATGAGTTCTTAGAAATGATTTTAATGGAGTTGTTTACTAAACACTGGGGTTTTGGGAATACTATTAAGCCAGCCTTTTTAATCAATGACCACACTACGACGTCACAATCGTAAATTGCGAATACTTCGTAGGATATTGAACTGCAGTCGAAATCGGTGAATGCTAAGTGTTTTTTCAAAAATCTATGCTAAGCCTTATTCACCAAATCAAGTCAGATTTCGAGTAATAATAATAACAATTTGACCGATAGAATTCAGTCTGCATCAAGCAAAGTACTAAGACGTATGCATGACATTATTTACTCACTGCCTAGTATCCTAATAAAGTCTGACAAGAGGTCAGTAGCGAGACTAAATTGCTCAATGGTGGTGACGTCTCTGACTTCAGCACTAGATGGCACGGGTTCGAGTCTCATAGGGTACATGAGTTGCAGATACATTCTGCTGACTGGTGAGTGCAAACAATCACGAAACCTAGGTCCACGGCAACCTGCCGATTGCCACAACCATGTGATAATATCATCCGGTTGGATGGTCCTTAAACCACAGAAGATTTCAACCACGTCTTCCTCATAAGTCGTCTTCTCACTTACCATAGGTTTCTGTTGAATGGTCGTATTTAAAGTAGCTGTGTAGTGAGAGCTGGTTGCTAGCCAAATTGGCAGGCAGTAATTTACGTCAATGTTTACGTCCCCAATATTGGTCGTGAAAAAAATAAGAACAAAGACTGATTCACCAACCAACCACAGCAGACTTTGCGTGGGCGGATACAGTTAACATATAGATGATCTGACATTCAAAAAACAGTCACAGTAGTACTTAAAGCTATATAAAACCATGTAGTCTCTCGTTCCGTCCACCTTTTCCCATGGCAATCGCGGGGAGGTCGAGAGCTGTTATAGTTAACGTTAAGTACACCTGTCTCCTCGTTAATGTGACGCAAGTTCCTCGTATCGAGATTCTCACTCTTTTTAAACAATAAACTAGTTTCATCCACAGTGGTTAGGAAACTCGCCGACCATGCACATGGTCCGAGGTTCGAGCCCCTGCCGACGCACACCTGACATCTATGGTCAGGCTGCAAAATTTGGGCTACCAATATCCATGCTGAAAATTCCATACTCGTACCGAAAACACAGTTTGGAATCAAGCTGTAAATAAGAAAAAAAAGAAGATTAACTTTGAGTGAGAAACAACCAATCAGAAGACTGTGTTTTTCTGCTAACAATAATCTATATTAATGTACATGAAAATCTATAAATGTGCTGATTTCCTTAATAAACGATCTGTTTCCTGGTCCTTGTCTTCTGTTGTTACAGCTGTAACGAGCATAATACCCGATATCGATCTTTATATCCCATTTCTTTTGGTACACACACACACACTTTATATCTAATAATGTGCGTAGGTGGTTCACTGGCCCACGGCTCGATTCCTGGCAATAAGCCCCAGTAAAGAAGGAAGGCGGTTCGGCGAAGCTATTTACCTCATCCCCTAAGACAATAAACACACCACTGCTACTGTGAAACTTCAAACCTCAAGCTTCTGAAGCCTTAGATTCCACTGGGGGGAACACAAAGAATTCATGAAATAACAGAAATAATAATTTGACTAAATAAACATGATAATAAGTAGTATATTTGATAATATATAAATAAATATAGGGAAGAATGTAGTACAGATTGTTGAAAATGATCATATCATATAATAAACCAATGAAATGCACAGAATAATAAATGACCTAAAACAAGTTGTGTTAGTAAGTACAGGGGGGGGGCGGGAAGTAGGATGTATTTTTTGTCAAAGAATATCATATCATATATATAAGTTTCTCAGATTACACCATATAATGAGATATATACTGTTGTAAAAGACAGCAGGGTAAAATATGTAAATATACTGGAGACTGAAAGAAACAAATGAGCCGCCAAGTCTCTCAGTTAGATAATAATCAATTGAAATCTGTGTAATTTACTTGATTTTTAATGTTTACAAAAGAAAGAAAAAAAGATGAATGCTGTAGGCAAGTAAGTTTTATTTTTTTTTTATTCAGAGGAAAAACCCAAGAAGGAGAGAAAAAGAAGAGAACTGGTTGAGTGTGAGACTTCCTACCTCTTACCTCCACCCCCCCACTGCTTACAGGAGATAATAAGAACACATGATGTCGACGAGGAGGCAGTTGAGGTGGAGTAGGGGAAATTTTTCTTTATTGTTTGTTTAATCTTAAAAGTTATTGATTAATTAGATTAATCTTCCTTGACAATAAAGATGCATTTTTTATTCAATCAATGGACATGCAGGCAGATGAACAGTTCCAAAATAATTCAACTCATAGAGACTACAGAAGATGAGGACAATTACATAACCAAATAATAAAGCATATCCATAGGGTTTAGTTAATCGCCAACGATTGATATGTGTTGCTACTAATAGGTAAATAACAGTGGTAAATAATGTTAACGTTGAATAAAGCAAACCTAGTGGCGGAAATGATGAAAAAAAGAAAGAAAGAAACGCAAAGGATAATTAACACATCACATGAAGTGAATAATTTTGTAGGCATAGATTATTGATGATTGTGAGTAATAAATTCTGCTTAGGGACAAAAAATATACCCACTACTGTTCCTTGTTCCTCAGACAGAGATCTCCGTGTCTCTCTTTAACTGATTGTTGTTGGTACATTATTGACATCTTTCCTGGACTACTTAAGAAAGACTTTGCTTCGCTGAGAAGGGCACAAAAAGCCGTTAGTAGGGCAAGTGGGATATCGTTAAACCAACTGGTTAACACTATTGTGGATAGACATATTATGTTATGTGAGAAACTAGCGAATACAATATTGTCGGACCCCCAGCATCTTCTCTATACACAGCTCTCTCCTTGCATTTCATCTGGTAGAACTAGAAGCAGCTATAATAGGAGGCTATATGCTAGGACTACCAAATACAAAAACTCCACAATACCACAATATCTGGCACAGCTGTTATGTGATGAGAAGTCCGTTAGGTATGACACGATCAACTTACTGCGGCACTCTAACAAATAGTCTCATTAGTTTTTGTTTTCCTTTCCTCGTTACTATTACACTGTTGTTCTCATCTTCTATCACACATCAACTTTATATTTCATATCTTGTGGTGCATTGTTTGAAATGTAAACTCAACGCTGTTTGTTTTTTTAAATTTTTATTTATCTTTTTTTTTCGGCGTTGGTTTTAATTTATTTATTTTAAAAATCTTATAAAATTTATGAGGTAATTAGATACAATATATTGTAATGCACGCTGAAAATTCCATACCTGTACCACAAATACTGTTTGGAATAAAGCTGTTAATATTATTATATTATTTTAAAAAAAATTTTGATGTGGTTGTGTTCTCTGAGCTGCATAGTTAATTTACGAAGCTTTCATTATTGCCCTACTAGGCGACAACTTCAGTGCATACTTCAATTTCAATTGAAGTGAGCTTTAAGGTGAAAGTGCTGCAATGAATCCTTGCCTTCTTGAATACTATTCAACAGCACTCCCATCTTAAAGAAAATTGAAGAAAAATATCTCATGGAGGTGTCTTCCAAAAGAATGAATATCTACGGAATTTCATCAAAAGACATATACCCCACCCTTAAGCCAATCTATCAAAGCAAGAGCCCCAACCAAGGAAAGCACAAAGAAAATCGCCCTACCATATATAAAAGATATCTCAGAAATTGTCGTCGTACACAAACCAACAAAGTCACTTCACTCAATTCTATGTCAACCAAATGTTATGTACTCGTCGCCAAATTATTGCTATGTACTGGTCGAGAATTTAATAGTCCTGACGCAAGAAAGACGGAAATCAGAAGACCACTAGGTTTGCGATGATACTTCTATTTTCCAAACACAAGGAGAAGCAATAAGTGGTATCACACCAAAGTAAGTAAGTCACACAAGATTGTGTGAGCGAAATATATATGAATGTCCAGACAAGTGTGTGAACAAATCAATAGACAGTCTTAACATGATTGGCTAATTATAATGGAGTATCGATCCATATATACATAGCGAAATATAACAGATTGTCAAACAAACACACATATTATATGGAGATATATCACCGAGAACAGACTGTCAACAAACACACATTATATATAATATAAGAGGAATATACATTGATAAAGGAGACAGGTTCATCAAAGGGAAATGGTCACAGACTAGGAGAGCAACAGAAAGAGAGACCACCATATATATATGTATATATATATATATATATATATATATATATATATGGATACATATCACCAAAAGACTCAACAGTGAAAGAAGATAAAACCAACATCATCTACAAAACAAATTGCAACAACTACGAAAAACACTACATCGACCAAAGTGGACGTCCCTGCTCTTCGTCTTCGTATCCACGAACATAAGCTAGCCGTCAAAAGACATGATATCCACTCCCCCATATCACTCGCTGAATACAGACAACCATGAACATCAATTCGACTGGGACAACTGACATTCAAATATTAGACAGAGGAAACAACAAGACAGCTAGCCAGAGAATTTTTAGAAGCTTGGCATTCCAGTGAATCACCAATCAATAGACACATCGAGATAGACTAAATTTATCAACCGATAAGAAAGAAACCTCACAAACAAAGGGTCAAAGTTCAAGTCAAAGAAACAATCAGTTCCAATACAAGGAACCTAGAAGGTGTGAAAACACACAAAAACAACCAATCACGTCGAAGGTCACCAACCAGGAGAGATGATTAGTAAACTCGTGGAGAAATCTAAAAGCTCACTTCAACAAATTGAAGTATGCGTTGAAGATGTCGCCTAGTAGGGAGATGAAAGCTTCGCAAATTAACCATCCAGCTCAGAGAACACAACCACATCTAAATCATCCACCTGAGCTACAAATCTCCTCTATCAGATTTACATCATACATTAAGAAACTTATGTCTAAAAGGCAGCAGATATTCGCAAAGTGTAAATACCAGACACATTGTCGATATGGGTGATAGAACCCAGCATAAAGTATCATGCAATCCTTTCTTATGAATCGTGTGATTTATCTTGTGATAAAGTTACTATATGAATGTAACACTTTCCACACATATTGTGATTCAGTGTGTGTGTGTGTGATCAATTCATCTTCTTTTGTCTCACCTTGATCTTTGTCTGATCACCAACCAATCAGGATAGAAATTTCCAACCAATAAAGACAAAACATTCCCACGGTTGTCAACCGACTTTATTATGGCTAAGAAAATGTTACAGACTTCCTGGAATAATTTGCGCGCCGAGTAAGAGTGATTCATTATAAATGATTTAAATTGATCCCAGTGTGTTTAAGAAATAAAAAAGCAAAACAAGATCTGTTTTCTGAACGTTTCGCTGTGTAAGGCACCACAGCTTCTTCAGCAGCGGGATTATTCGGATTTTGTTAATCATCAAAATAATTAGTCAAAATTTTTTTTATATATATTGAAGTCATTTAACTGAATTTTAGATTTTCCCGTCGATTGATTGCACCAAAGTGCTCGGTCTTAGGTTGACATGTCAGCTTCTTGTGCAGATGCTTCGACGATGTCTGGGCATGTAATTAGGATTTTTAATTGGTGGATGGTGACTAGCAGTGGAATCCAGGACAACATGCATTTCGTCCTATTTGGGACTCGTTGATGACTGGATGTGCCTGCATTCCCCAATGGGTGATAATGATGTTCCCACCGAGGCTCGAACACAGTACCCATAGTTTCAAACGCCAAAGCGTTGTCTACTAGACCACTTGGGCCACGAGAGCCATCTCCAGTGGATAACGCTTTGGCGTTTGAAACTATGGGTACTGTGTTCGAGCCTCGGTGGGAACATCGTCATCACTTGCTGGGGAATGCATGCACATCCAGATGACGAGTCCTAAATGGGACGAAATGCGCCTTATCCTGAATTCCACAGCTAGTCACCATCCACCAACTAAATTCTAAACTGAAGTCAGTTTATTTAAATGTCATATGTCTATAGACATTTGTACCAATAGAAATATGCAAACAATCATCACATATATTTGTAATGACTAATGTCAAATTGATATTGTGTATATATTTTTTCTGTATGAGTGTATGTTATTTGTCATATGGAAAAGACGTCAATTCACATGTGATAAACATGACAATACATTTTTTAAAGGTCATGGAGGTTCATAGAGGTTTTTGTCGTTTTTTCATCTGTCTTGCTTTATTAGAGTTTGCCATATAAGAGTAGGTGATAAGTCTATCCCTTCTCTCCTTCCTATATACTGCATTCGATGTAGTTAAAATGTGCAAGGCTTCAGAGGTCCCCCTTTCTTTATTTCACGACTGCCTGCATATTTCTATTGGTACAAATGTCTATCGACAGGTGAACTTCAAATAAACTGACTACAATTTCTGTGAAAAATTTTGACTTTATATTTTAACGATTAATAAAATCCGAATAATTACACTGCTGAAGAAGCAGCTGTGGCAGCTTACACAGCAAAACGTTCAGAGAAAAGATCATGTTTTGATTTTTTTTTCGTCCTAGTTTGGGACTCTTCATCAGTAGGCATCCACCGGTATTCGAACACAGGACCTCCTGGTTACAAGGCGAGCTCGTAGACCATTAAGCCACTGGGACCCGCCAATCCAATGGTTCTTAAATTCTAACTTCTGCCAATTCACGGCACAACGCGACCATTTCGCAATGTCTTCTTCGATGAGTTACTGCCTCATCTTCGACCTGCTGTACCCTACTGGTCACGGCTTCCCAGAAGAACCCCAGGTTAACTGCCTAAATAGGGCCAGTCGCTAGTGAGCATCAGATTAATTTTCAAGTATTGGTTTTGTAGGGATTTTGTTTGATTGTACGGAGGATTTCATCGTGAGCTGACATCATTTAGAGAACCACTGGAAAATCTGGGAGTACTGGACGACTGTTTCGTCCTAATTTGGGACTCTTCATCAGTATGCACCCACCGATATTTTTTTTCTTAAACACGTTCCGGGATTAATTTAAATAATTTATAATGTATTCAGAGAATATCCTAAGAAAATTATGCCTAGAAGGGAGTAGATATTCACAAAGCGCAATTACTAGACATCTTGTGGATATGCGTCATTTCGTCGACAAATTCTAAAGCCTTCAAAATATTAAACATACAAAGAACAGCAAATTTACGATGGACCACCGAAGCGATTGCAATCAAGCTTTACAAACCAAACTTATTTTGTATACACAAAAAGAAAGTGTAGAGTCAATCTCTCTCTCACCCACTGGCCTTGAGAACTAACCAGCATTTTAATTACATTGATTAGTCATCCATATGATTGATTTCAGCTCATTGAGCATGTTTTCAATTTTCAGAAATATAACTACCTTAATGAGTTGCTATAAGAATAAAACTTGTCCACTGTGGTGGTAGAGTATAATTCTATTATGGGTAAAATTTATTTTGATAAAGTCTCACAGTGTGTTTTACAGTAATGTTTACTGATGACCAACGATCAACGTATGGAGCACAGTTTATCACTGGCCACTCATAATCATATCAAGGCAATACTCACACAACTTTCTAACTTCATTTATATAATTCCACTATTTTTCATCGCTTGATTTGATGATTGGTAGTAGTCATTTTGCATATTTCCGGTATGAGTGAAGAGTCATTCCTATTGCATGTGTTGGGTGTAGACTCGATGAACAAGGATTCACTATATATAGTTGACCGCACAGTCATTGTACGTTATTTTGTAAATTATATTATTTTGTCTAATTGGGTCAGCCGACAGGGTCCTTTAACCTACAGAGCTTGTCCTACCTGAGTGAGTTTTTAGGTTTAAATGCCATCATCCTAATTCCTGCTTTAATAAGAATCCTACGAGGGGAAGACTTCAGATGTTGCCTTCTTATATGGTATAACAGTGGATGACTTATATTCCTTCTTATTTATGTTATCATTTCTAGTTTGATTGCATGGAGGATTTAATCATGAGCTGACATCAGTTAGAGAACCACTGGAAAACCTGGGAGTACTGGACAGCTGTTTCGTCCTAGTTTGGGACGTTCCGTTCATGTTGCTAATTCTTTCTAGCCGGCAAGCCATTTTATCTTCGGTATGGAGTAAGCCAGCAAAGATGTAAGCTGTTGATGAAAATCTGCTACAGGCTGTGCGTCGGTGGCACAGTGGTTAGGACTCTCGCTGACCATGCACATGGTCCGGGGTTCGAGCCTACGCCGGCGCACACCTGATATCTATGGTCGGCCTGCAAAATTTGGGCTACCGATATCCATGCTGAAAATTCCATACTTGTACCAAAAATACAGTGTGGAATCAAGCTGTAAATCAAAGAAAATAAAAAAAAAATAATAACCTATGTAGCGGTCTCTACCCCGCGCTATTTATAATTCGGTAGAATTTTCATATTTAGCCTTACGAACATGAATTCTGGTCCAGTTTCTTGTGGTCTTACTCAAGAAATGCATAAGATAACTACGATTAACTGCCTGAAAGAATTGAAATGCCCAACCGACTACGAAATTAGTTGGTTAGGCCAAAGACACACCAATAACCCTACTTGCAGCCGAAGTAATATGATACAGTCTTTTTCGAAAAGCACTGAGAAGAATGAATAATGGACAAAATACATGAGTTCATGAATTGTAAAAGAAGAGACTCGGCCTGCAAAATTTGGGCTACCGATATCCATGCTGAAAATTCCATACTTGTACCAAAAATACAGTGTGGAATCAAGCTGTAAATCAAAAATCAAAAATAAAATAAAATCCTTTTCCTGACACGCTGGCCAAGTTTCTGACCCGTATAGAAGAACTAACTGACTTCACATTTATGTTGAGAATCCGAATCTTGTTCCTTATGCTGAATCAGTGCGGAAGATTTCCAAACTGGTTTCAGGTTGATGAAGGCGTGCGTATCTTGCCTTTCCAATTCTGCCTGGTGGGTTTTGACATCTTCGTCCGTTCCAACTGCCTGTAGTTGAAACGATGCTTCCCAGATAAGTGAAGGAGGCAACCTCTTTCAAATCTCTCCTGTTGATGGTGATTGGTGCTAGCTGGTGTTGCTGTTGATTGACTGGTTGGCTATCTTCATCACCTCTGTCTTCTCTATGTTCACCTGCAGTCATGTTTTTGCTGCCTCTTTAGTCAGCTTGTTGGTTTTCGTCTGCTAGTCTTCGAGTTTGTGTGACATTAGACATATGTCATCCACGAGCGGAATCCAGATCTTCTAGATGGAGTCTCCGTATCCGTGGTCCAGCGTACTCTTGTCTCCTCGCTCCCCATAGTCTCACGCATAATCCAGTCCACCGTAATTAAGAATATCATCGATGATAATAGGCAGACAGCTTTGTCTTACTCCTGTATGCACTTCGAATGCTTCTCTGAGTTCCCCGTTGTGGATCACCTGACACGTGACATTGTCATATAGCCAGACAGCTGTTGAATGAGGTTGATAAAGACTTAGACACTGCACACCGTAGAGTTGAAGTAGTTTCTAAATTACTTCTCGGTCAACGCTGTCTGTAGAAGGCCTTTTCGAATTCGATGAAGTTGAGGTAGAGGTTTGAGTTTCATCAACATGTCAAGGTGAAATGTATGTTCATTGAAGGCACTAATGGTGACGGCAATGCTATATTACAAATTGTCTTCAACTAAATCCCTCCAAATGTCAGCTTGTTAATGTCACATTCAGACGCAAGAGTAACTGAGACACTAAGAACTGATGGCTGGAGAGGATTATTGGTGATATGGCTTAGAAATATTCTCAATGTTGGCAGTTGCATTCACTCTTTAAAATCTCCTAAATCCATAAAAATTTTTATGCTATTCCATATTACTACTATTCTACTCCAGTAAACTTTTGCTCATTATGAATGTTTTGAATCGCTTTTTTCTATCTTTCTTTCATCTTTGTGTACTATATGGAGTGTGGCAATTTGAACTGGTTCAGAGAAGCGCACCAGTCGTCGTCCAGAAAGCTCGTGACTCCAGATATTCTAAAGGTTGCAAGCATACCTTGTTGACAAGTAAGAAACCTAAGCCTAAGAGATTCACGCCAAGTGAACAATATCCTTCTGAATGTATTCCAACAGAACACCTAGGTTCTACTAAAATTAGTGCGATTCTAATATACTACTGATTGATCGACGTGAGTAGTTGAAGACCACTTACACTGACCAGTAAGTGCCTGCTAGGTCTGCTGAACTTGTACAACAAATACTGTTGTAAGTCAACTAGGCAGTGGTCCACCCCCCCATTTAACATGTACAACAGAGTGAATGGATCTAAGAGCTACCAGTGAACCATCTGTGGGTAAATTTTTCTTTTCAAAATTACAAAGAATAAAGAAACAACATCACTGAACATGAATCACACTTTACCTCGAGAGTAAATAATAACTGGCGCTTGAGAAATAATTGATTTCATTAACCATGGTAATCCCATACAGATTAATATATCAAACACATTGCTTCCTACAGCATTGGAGACTGCCATATCACCTTCACCTACACAAAATTAATAAATGGAAAATAAGGGTCAACATATCATGCATTTAGAGCCAAAAAAAATAAAATAACGGCAAAGTTTTGTAGTTCTTGAGGTGCTATTTTATAGCTATATAGCGGGCATTTATTTGAGAGAGAACCTTTCAATGGCTTTCTTTTTTTTGTCTTTCGCGTTCCCCAGTGGAACATAGGGCTTCAAGCTAGTGGTTTGAAGTTTCTGTAGCAGTGTTTATTTGACAGGATGGGGTTGCTAGCCTCATGCCCAACCTTTCCTCTTTACCAGCTCAGTGAGGTAAAGGAGTGAGTCGGCCGGGGATCGAACCCCGGATCATGTGTATGGTTGGCGAGCGTTCTAACCGGTATACCACCGACGCAATGGCTTTCTAAACATCATTATATACGTCTCATATGTTATTATTTATTTTATTTATTTAAACGCAGGAAAAAACTTGGTACAATGTGTCACCAAGAAAGATGCACCACACAATAATAATAAAACAACATAGATTAGAACTAAAAATATAAGTAGAGAACGGATAAAGAACTTCATCTGGAAGGAAAACAGTCATGCTTAACGAGTTCAAACAGTATTCAGGAAGGAAAAAAACTAAATTGCAACACATTCGCCACTGATTACGATTCTTCGCCATATCCGATAACGTTTCGAGCCATCGATTTAAGCTATCTCTCGGACCCCAACCACGGAGTCGTGACACACCAACCGATGCTTACCTAGCACAAACATTCTTCATCCCACGACGCCACATCATGGGTTGACCACCCCTCCGCCTTTTCCATTCCGTCCCAGGGCTAGCGAACAGAGACCTATACGGAAGCACATGTCCAAGCCGCCGGAGCCGGTGTTTCCAGATGACGACACTCAACAAATGGTGATCTTCATTGCGTTCAAACACACGAGGCCGAACCTCAGAATTACTCACGCGATGATGCCACCGAACGCAAGCAATCTTGCGGAGACAGCGGTGATCGAATACGCAGTCGCCGCACATCCTCAGCCTTCTCGGAGAGGCCAGGTTTCACAGGCGTAAGGCAGGGCAGCCCGCACCGTAGCATTGTATACCCGACCTTTGACAGCTAGGATAACGTCGTGATGGCGCCAGAGGTGCCACCTTAGCCTTCATTATACGGTTGGAAATCTCATCCGTCACCCACCCCCGCCAGCACCCACACAACATACGTCTCATATGAACTGAAAACTATTCGATTTACAACTGTAAAGCTAGACAGAACATGACTAATATATGTGTATATCTTATTGTACGATCCAGGTCTTTGGTACTGATAAGGCTGACTCTAAACTATACTTGTCCAAAACGAAACAACCTAATGAACGGGACCTATGACCTTGAAGAACCACCGGCCAGATGAGTTCGTTGTATATGGGGGGAATTGTGGATGCTGTACACGAATTACTAAGTAAATTCCTGCCAACTGTCATCTCTGAGCTATATTCACAATGTGGTTAGCCATACGGACGATTTCGTCAATCCATTCGATAGGACTCATACAAACAGATTCCATCGACAGTTTCTAGACTCATCTAAAATACAGGAGCAGAGAGGTGAATGAATCAAGAAGCATAATGATTTACAGTTATCTCGTCGAATTTATGCACAGAAATTGGTTTGACCTAACTACTATGATGACTCCTATGAGAAATTGGGAGGTCTTCTTGGAACATGTATGAGGACGTTAACCTATGTAAAAACTACTTTCTAATATTGCATCACATACAAATGAACGGTTTTTTCAAGTTATGTACTTTTGTTTCGAACACGTCTGATTGGTCAACGAAGATTTGTCAAGATCTTTATTAGGTAGTTTCATTTTTGGCTAATATGGTTTAGAGAGTCACTCTGATAAATAACACTTCTGAACTTTTAATTTTTACAATGTTACAGGTTTGGAGACGAGCTGAAATTATGTTTGAGAAGTACTGGAAAGCCAGGGAGTATACTGGACAGCTGTTTTTGGCCCTGGTTTGGGATTCCCTCAAGAAGTACCCCCTAGTTTTCCTATCGTTTTCAAAATGGTATCAGCTTGTAACCAATCCGATAACTAATCAAATCCCTGTAAACTAACACTTGCTGAGATGTATGAGATGATAGCTGAAATTATTTTGTTATTATTATTATTGAGCTTTCTTTATCATAAAATTTGTACAGCTTTATTACTTATTTCGCGTTGGTGGCTCAATCGTTGATTGCTCATCTACCACGCACGTCATCCGAGTTCAATAACCTGTCAACGAGCTCCTAAACGTCGCCTATGGTGTAGTATTTCTGGTAAGGAAGGGAAGGTTGGATATGAGGCTAGTAACCCCCTCTCCCCGTGGAGAGAAAACAGCATAAAGGTTGCTGAAACTCCAAAGCTTAGAACTTGAAGCCCTGTATTACTCTCGGAATGTAAAGCCACGAAATTTTAAAAAAAGACAACGGGTAACTCTGGGATTGTCCTAAATTCCATTCAACATTTCATAGGAATCGGCTTAAGACAGTTATAGTCATCGTATGATTCATCGTGTGATTATTATTATTATTGTTCCCTTCGGTTCCTAGTGGAACATACGGCTTCAACTGCTGCAAGTCTCCACTTGCTACTTCTGTCTTCCTTCTGCTGTACTTTTCACCTGCATCCATGTTAGTTAGTCCATACTGTTTCAACTCCTCTTCACACGATCTCCTTCATGTCAACCTTGCACTGACGTCCCACTTGCCGCGTGCTTCCCTTTCGGCCTGATTCCACTCGAGGGCCCGATACGCGATGTCACTCAGCGACCTCCTCAGCCGCGAGTGTCTAATCCATCTCCAACTTTCTCCACTCTGCATATTTGTTGGTTGGCGATTGATTCCTGTTTTGTTTGTTCGCATAGTTTCCCCTGTTAGTGATTCTTTCCGGCCCAGCCAGTATAGAGCGAAGACAGTTGTTGATGAAGGTCTGCAACAGGCTGTTGGAAATATTCTTTGTGACCCGCCCGCCAAGTTTCTGATCCGTATAGAACAACTGACCGACTTGACGTTGTTTGTATTGAAAATCCAACCGAATTTTGTTGTTGATGCTGAGTTGAGTGACGAAGATTTCCAGATTAGTTTTAGTTGTTTGATGAATGTGTTTCGCTCGCCTTCCCGATTCTCGCTCGATTTGACATCCTCATCCGTTCCGACTGTCTGTAGTTGAGACAATGCTCCCTAGATGATGAGTGAATGAAGTAACCTCTTTCTTCAATTCGGACAAGGATATTCATGTCTTCTCGTTTCCAACTGTCTGACGCATAATCCAGTATCATGTGACTGGATGACTGTAAAATTTCTACATCTTTTTCTTACTTTGATCTTGGTCACATCGTCAACCAATCAGAATTCTTATTTTTCACCTACCTGACCAAATCGTCTACCAATCAGAACAATGTATTTTTAGTGTCCTGGGCTGACTTTAACTTGGTTAATAAATATACATAAATGAGACGTGTTTTTCCTAATAAAATAGTATCCTAACAGTCACAGACCAGTGTTTGTCTTCTGATACCTACGTGGTTCAGACGAGCGAAAGGCACCACGGACAAATAGACATCCTTAGCAAATCAGTTGAATTGTTCATTGCATCGGTATTATTACACCTACGCATAAGTCCACTCGGTCATATATTAGCTGTCAACGCGAATATATATCAATTCACGACAGGTCGATAACAAATTGGCGACATGTTCACTTCAACTGGCGACATACATCAAAACAAACTGTCGACAGGGTTAATCATTTCAGTGTTGTCACAGTATATGATGGGGAAAATGTTATTATTGGCCAATTCTGTTATTTTCATGTAGGTAATCAAGATAAGTTACTACACCATTCGACCATGAAATCGATAAAATAAGTCGTCCATGAAACCTTATATTTGACTTCAGTAATGCAAAACAGCGCCTGCCTATTGAGATTAACGCATTCGACTATTATCCGGGTATTAGTCTGCTATCAGTTGCATCTAGTATACTGGTTTATTTTTTTTAATTTCTGATTACAGTTTGATTACACATGGTATTTTTGGTACAAGTATGGAATTTTCAGCATGGATATGGGCAGCCCGAATTTCGCAGGCCGACCATAGATATCAGGTGTGCGTCGGCAGGGGATCGAACCCCGGACCATGTGCATGGTCGGCGAGAGTTCTAACCACTGTGCTGTGTGTTGTCAACCGAAGATTTAATAAAAAAACATGAGAAATTGATTAGTAACAATCAGGATAGGTCTTTCAAATCGTGGATGGATCGATCACATGTTTAACGTTTGTCGCAAGTGTGAAAAATGGCAGCTTTCCAGTTTCTTCCTAGTTTGAAATTCTTCCACAGTACTTATTCATGTTCCCCCACTTGAGGTTTGAACTCAAGGTCTTCAGCTTACAAGGTAAGCGGCACGGTAATACACAACCACAGAGGCACGATCCAATGGTTCGGGAAAAATGGAATGGGTGATTGGAAAAATAAAATTTATTTCCGCACATAATCTGAATACATTAACATTAATCAGGGGATAAGAAACATAAAGTTATTAACTTCCTTGAGGCTAATCAAAACATCCATTATGGTTCTACATAAGGTCTGTCACCAGCCCAAATAGCACAGTGATAATATCTCTGAATGTGGCAGTGGGTGGCGTGGGTTCGAATTCTAGAGGGCACATGAGTTACTTCATGGATGCAGGATATGTCCTTTCTGACAAGTGCCAGAAAGCACAAAACCAAGGTACCCTAACGACTCCCTCGAAACATCTAACAACTCTCTTGTCAAACACCACGCTCATAATACTATCAATAATTGTTGCCACTTGATTGTAACATTTGTAATAACGATATAAAAATTTTAAGTTCATGTTTCATTTGTTTATCCTGATAAATGTTACATCAAGATTAAACAGGTTCAAATTATATCATATCATATTTGGCGAATCGTAAAATAAAAATCAATAATATTGTGGTAAATACATAAATTAGCATTACTATTTAGATATGATAGAGAAGATTTGTAGATCAGGTGGATGACTTTGGTGTGGTTGTGTTCTCTGAGCTGGATGGTTAATTTGCGAAACTTTCATCACCCCATTGGGTGACATCCTCAGCTCATACTTCTGTTTGAAGTGAGCTTTTACATTTCTCCACGAGTTTATTAATCATCTCTCCCGGTTACCTTGGACGTGATATATATATATATATATATACATAGTTAGCTGGAGTACATAGCCTGTTATTTGCTCTAATGGTGTTCTCGTGACTTTTTGTTGCTAGGCTTGCCAAAAGCGACCAGATCATGTGCGACCTACCGATTATGTGCAAAGTTTGAAGAAGGCTGTATGCTTTATGCAGTCCGCTTCAATCTGATAGTACTTGTGGGTCTGTGGTTCGATAGTAGAGAACTCACCAACCCCACCTCAAGTGGTCCGGAGTTCGAATCCAGGCCACCGATGCACTCTTAAACCTCGCCTAAACAGGTAGTAAGACTGGGAAGAATGGAAAGTTCGACATGAAGCCAGAAACTCATCTATCCCACAAAAAATAACACCAAAGTTTGAAACCCTATGTTCCACTGGTCATACAAAGGGAATAATGAAATGTTAGCTATTCAAGACCATGATGTTTTGGACGAGTGTTGGGAGTTCTATAACCAGGAACCTAAGCAATGCACAGGCGTAAATGTTTACACATTATATGACTAAGCTCTCAATTGTCGGGTGTCTTCTAGTGAGAATAATGTTACCATTAATCCATATTTCTAACCTCCCCTCCCCGCCTCAGACTTACAGGTTTTGCACAAAATGAAAAAAATAAAAGAATTTGTGTATTCATCGATAAACGCCTACCTTCACGAACAACAAGCACTGAAGCAATAGCATCTGGAACACTGGATCCAGCGGCAATAAATGTTAATCCCATGATAGTATCCGGAATGTGAAGAGTAACACCTACATAAAATTTAGAAGACAAAAAAAGAAGTGAAACGAAATATGAACAGCGTGTTATTAGAAGACGGAGTTTATTATGGAAAAGAAATAAGTGGCGATGTATTTGCGCAATAGATTTTGACTAGCAATTTGATCACACTTGTCAAATCAATTTATGTGTAAAATAAAAGGCTAATTAAAATCTGTCTGTCTGTTTTCAATGTGCAGCAGTTCAAGTCACCACACTCCCTCCTTGTAGCACACAAAGCAAGAGAAGAAAGCAGAAGAAATGCAAAATAGAAACAGTAGACAGGAATACGCAACAAAAGGAATAGTAATAACGAAGAACAATATAGTTTTATTGGATTCTATAAGTCACAAGGAGTGGATGCATCTGCGCCAGCCATTGAGAACGAAAGTTTTGAGCCATATCACTGATTGTCTCCAGCTGTCATTGGTTTTTGCCGTCCCAAGGACCCCAACCAGTCTGGTAGTCCACACCTCCGTACATGGCTAGCTTAAACTAAATGTTGTGAATTTCATTGACTGATGAGCCTATATTATGGTTTGTCCACAACTAGCTCTTTTTCAACCTGATCAATCCTATATCAGTCAGCTAACATTGCTCGTCAGTCGAGGAAGGTGATGTATAGGCATACGTAACACATTTTCTAACCATCTCAGTCGATGTAGCTTCACAGCCTTGTCAATTGATTTCGCCTCCCTCCTTACCTAGAACTCGACCTATACCTGACTTCAATATTACTCACCCTATTATACTAATTCACACAGAGATGGAACGCAGACACCTATGATCAAAGACCGCCAGTCTTTTCATGTCTTCCAATTAAAATAAACATAATAATAAAAAAATAATAATAAGGATAACCATTAACCTTACTTTCGGTAATATAATCAGATAAGAGTTACTAAGATAGTTAAGAATAACACGAAATTATTTTTGTGCATACAGGAAGGGAGGGGGACACTTAAGTTTATGGGTACCTGTTACCTCTGGTAAAATTTTAGTCAGCATCCCTGAATGTTCTTACAGCAAATCTTGTAAGTTGATGCCAAGTGGACAAAGTTAAGTTTTTTTTCCTTCACATTCCCCAGTGGAACATAGGGCTTCAAGCTAGTGGTTTGAAGTTTCTGTAGCAGTGTTTTTTTTATTATTTTACAGGATGGGGTTGCTAGCCTCATGTCCAACCTCTCCTCTTTACCAGCATTATTTCTGGCTTAGCGAGGTAAAGGAGTGAGTCGGCAGGGGATCGAACCTCGAACCATGTGCATGGTACGCGAGCGCCGCAACCGCTATACCACCAACGCAAGTTAAGCTTTAAGCAACACTAACTACCAATCAGCAAATGACCTTGAACGCACCAATCACACAAAGGAGGCATTTTTGTGCATGGAATACATATATATTCATGTAACAAAAAATGCATAAAAATGGTATAAAAGTGTTACATAGGATACCTTTCTCTCACATGTGATAAAAACATCTCCCAGTTTAGCATAGAAGTATCAAATGAAAAGTTACACCACATCACATACATATTTTTTTTATTTTTTGATTACAGCTTGATTCCACACCGTATTTTTGGTACAGGTATGAAATTTTCAGCGTGGATATCGGTAGCCCAAATTTCGCAGGCCGACCATAGATATCAGGTGTGCGTCGGCGTGGGCTCGAACCTCGGACCATGTGCATGGTTGGCGAGAGTCCTAACCACTGTGCCACCGACGCACATGTACATAAATGGCATCATTTTAAGACCAATTAATTGCTATAATCCTGTTTTTTTAAGCTTCCCCAAAAGCCTTTGGTAGAATTGGTGTGGGTCCCTGTAATGGGATCCACAAAATCATTAGAATAGTTGACTCTTTGGTGAATATATCCAAGGGATGACAATGAGTTATAACTCATCTGTGGATATTATAGATCCTTGTTTCACAAGTTGAGTAATAATAGGTATTAAAGTACTTCACTTTCTATTTGCAATCATTTCGACGAATCATTTCTGTAGAGAGGTGTCATATGTTCCTATGAAATACTAGGATCATCAGCTTACCTTCCCTGACACTAACTTGGCTCAAACAAATTGCCGAACAATGCATATATCCATCAACAGACCTGCGCTTAAGCTTTTTATGGTTATCACACCTCCACGCGAACAAATCCTTTCTTTCCTAATCAACCCCACATCTAAGTAATATTGGAGGACTTGTTCCTCACCAAATTGCGAAAGTAACTGAGTTAGAGCAGGTATTTGACTCAAATCAAGCGGAACAGACGCTTCGACCCACTTGAATAAATCTCATTGGTCCATTCAAGGTCAATGGTGCGATCACACTCTATTTTTTAGTCAGTGGTACTTAAAGTTTAACTTGGCCACCGATCTTATAATTCATATCAATTAAATATTTTGCTATAGACAAATCTGGTAGTCTACCACCTAAGTCTATCAAGGTTTCACAGTGTTCAACTGGTTTTCAAGCCATACATGAAAGTGCTTGTCAGTTGAAGATGGAATCCTTTTCAGTTTACAATATTAATTGGATGGAGGAAATCATCATGAGGTGATATCAGTGGTTAGAGAACCATTGGAAAACCACCAAGGAGTACTGGACAGCTGTTTCCCCCCGTCCTAGTTTGGGACTCTTCATCTGTACGTACCCACCACACGGGGGGTTCGAACCCAGGACCTTCTGGTTACAAGGTGAGCTAGCTCGTAGACCAATTAGTTACTGGGACCCAATACAATAGGTAGGGATGATTATAATTTACAGCTTCTGTAGGTTTCAAGCAGAGTGCTGCTGTCCATATATTATGAACAACAACGGAGTTTTAAAAACAACCTTTTCATCAGTACACACACTCAAAACCCACGAATAAAAAATAAACACAGCAAACAAGAGGATAAAACAAAATTTTGAGTGAAAGGTATGAGAGAATTTAATTTTAATAATAATAATAACACTAATAATAATACTGATAAGAATAAGACATTAAAAAAGGGGAAATAATGTACATTACTTCAAACGAATATAAACTCAATCACAAAAAGCTTTTTCTGTGATATAACCTTCAAAAAAAGTAGGTCAGTTGTAGTAAAACGGAACGACAACGGAAACAAAAAGAAAAAAATGGAATTAACAATAGGATATATAATTGTGAGTGTGTGTGGATGGGTGGGTGGGCGGGAGAGAGACAGAGAGAGGTGGGGAAACTAAACACAGGCGATTTAAAATCACTTATCCCGCCAACAGCGCTTAACCTATAAACTAAATAATGGTTATGATAATAATAATAATGATAATAAGGTATCCGAGTTTAGTATTGTTGGCTATTTTTCTCCAGTATAAAAGCAGTATATAAACGCAAGGCTAATCTCCCACACATACGTAGGTGACTGAGTGAGTGGGCGGGTAGGTGGGTGGGTGCGTGGTTGAGTAGAATGTGGGCGTGTCAGGAAATTCATCCTACGTAGAAGAGAAGTATGAAAGTTGCATTTTTAAAAATTAATCATATTATAACTATTATTATTATTTTTATCATTAACATACCTTGTTTTACTTCATCGTCTATCCTCTCACCCTCTGGTCAATCAGTCAATGACAGTCTTCTATCCACTAACTAACTAACTAACTCACAACAAACACATAAAATATAGCAGCTACATTAGGCTGTAAGCGTTAATATGTATGCACAGAAAGAGGGAGGGAGAGAGAGAGAATCGCATAATAAATCACAGGCAAGAGAAACAGTCACAGAGGAATTGTGATACCTTTCTCATTTATATTATTTGGCAATGGAAATAACCTTTTGAGCAGAAGAAGGAGGACAAGGAGAACAAGAAGAAGAAGTAGCAGAAATCGATTTTTTCAGATTTGAATAAAATACAGAAATATAAATAGGAAAAAATTAATTATTTAATTAATTATTCAGTTTGGATATTTTTGGGGAGAGAATAAACGCTAAATATTGTTGCTACTATTATTAATATTTTGGGAAGACTGCAGAATCCTTTTTCTTGTTCTTACGACTAAACATAATAGACATATATATATATATATATATTTTGAACTTTTAATTTTATTTATTATTATTGTACCCTTTAATTCCTGGAGGAGCATAGGTCTTCAGCTGCGCACCTCTATTGCCTTCTGTTTTCTGCCAACTTTTTCACCCCACTCCAAGTCTGCCCACATGCTTTCATCTCCTCTTCACATGACCTCCTCCAAGTCACCCTCATACTGATGACCAACTCGCCACATCCCGTTCGGGTTCCAATCGAGCAATGGCTTGTCTAGTGATGTCACTTGATGGTTTATTTTCTCAGAGTATGCCCAATCCATCTTCATTTCTTCCTGCCTATTTGTTTCACAGTCGGTTCCTGGTTGCTTTGCCCCCAGAGATCCCTCCTTGTTGCTGGTCTTTTCTGGCCATCTGATCTTGAGCGAAGTATTGAGCGAAGACAGCTGTTAATGAAGGTCTGTAGTTTGTTTGAGATGCTCTTTATGACGCTCCAAGTCTCAGATCCATATAGTAGCACTGACTTCACATTGGAGTTGAAAATCCGGATCTTATTATATATATATATATATATATATATATAATTCCCTGAAGAAGAATTTTCAGGCAGCAACTCTAAGGGTGATATTCTCTAGCCCCCCCTCCGCCGACTACTTCGGAGCAACGCGAAGGACAGACTTCCTTCCAATTATGACGACTTCATTCAATGTGCATATATCACTTCACCTGTTCTTCTTGCAGAGCTAGGGACATAGGTCGTTCTATGCGGGTCTTATCAAAACGTGTTAGAGAACATCATCCAATCAGCAGCGCAATAACTGAACGACTCGTCAATCAATATCTGTCACAGAATCTCAACTGACTCTTCCATCATTTAGAGTCATATTTACAAAGTAAACAAAAATCCACCACCAAAGGCAGTCAGTGTGTTTCCGACTTCTTTGTACTGCGGAAGCTTTCGCCATATACATCGAAAAGCTGG